TAGTATGTGCCTGGGAACAAAATTTCTACTGAACCTGATGGTTGATAGGGAGCAGTGTGGTAGTTCTTAGTTCTAACATCCATGATGTCAGAAAACTTGCTAGGCTCAACACTCTGTCTTTCATTCAATAAAGAAACAGTGTCATTTAGTGAACTCAGTAACTTGGCCAACTTTGACCCCACACTCATATCATTGCAAATGTTTATAGAGTACATTGTTGAAGCAAGACCTGATCCATATGAAAATAATGCAAACTTTTTCCCAATCAATTGCTCCGGAGATTTACTGATAAGGTATGATGCAAGCCCACCATACAGTGATGGTGTGTACATGTTACCTACATTCTTTGCAATATACAGTGAAGGCTTAGTTTTCTCATCAAAGAGAGCTTGGCTATATGTCATGAATGCTTTTTCAACATCCCTATCAAAGTATGTGTCTTCCAATTTGTAAGAGCTGAATTTAGATAAGCCTGGGAACTGTTCTTCACGTTGTTCCGGAGATGCATTTAGGAAATCATTGAAACAAACCCTAGCCAATGACTTCTGGACCAATTTACTGTATGGGCAGTGGAATAACATCCCATCTAAACTCAACAAACCTTTAAAGTCAGGCTCAATCTTCCTCATTTTCTTACAATACAAATTGTAACAATTATCTAAAGCACTGAGGTAGCATTGAATTGATAGTTTTCCATCCACAAATGGGAATTCTGAGGCCAGATCTGGCTTGTAGAAGTCATAGGCATGAGTCATGTATGAAGCACGGACACCACAATCCAGCACCAGAGGTGCATTTGGGCCAATCAGCATAGCCACAGCACCTGCACCTCCTGTGGGCCGTGCTGGGCCCTTGCCATACACTGCTATGTCACCTGCCACCACTATAGCCTTTCTGCCATCCCACGATGAAGACTCCACCCAGTTCACTGCATTAAATAGAGCTGCGGTTCCACCATAACAAGCATTGGTTGTATCTATACCTTCAATGTCAGTGGCTCCTTCCTCAGCAAATAGGGTCATGAGGTAAGTTTTTACACTCTTACTTTTATCTATGATTGTTTCAGTACCAACCTCCAGTCTTCCTATATCATGCAAATTGATGTTGTTTTTCTCTATCAGCCTGTGCAAAGCTGTCATACAGATCGAGTTTATGTCTTCTCTGTCTGAACAAAATCCCATTTTAAGCTGGCCCAGTCCGACCGTGTATTTGCCGGTGGATACCTCGTCGAATTTTTCAAGTTCCGTTTGATCGACGTATTGAGAAGGGAAGTACAGCTCCATAGCAAGGATCCCGACATTTTCTACTCGTCCGCCCATCTTTGTATTTGTGTAGGTAACTTTCACGATGTTCGTCTACCGTTAGTTGTCGGGACGTGTTAACCGAGCGATGTAACCGGCGCAAACTGATGGCCGCGGACCCGCGCCCGCCGCGTCTCGTACTGTGCCGACGTCAGCACCCAGCCTCACGTTACCGGCACGCATACACCATTGACCTAATACCAATAACCAGCTTTCTTTCGCTCTTACGCGAACACACGATAACAGTATTTACGTTGCGCGCTACCGATTAGTATGCGCTAGGAGCAATGTCACGATTAACTTACTCGTTTAGTATTTACAATCATACTCAGTTCTTCATAAAACATCACTTATTTAATTTATTAATTTTATAATTTATACCGCTACTATCTAATGCCAAAATTCACATTTTTGATTTGACACACTTTTGACTTCTGACAGCCAGTAGGCAAATCATGTGGTTGTCAAATAAAGTCGCAAAATGGTAGCGTTCGGGAATTGTAAAGTAATAAAAAAATCAGATAAACAACTAGACGCTCATAAAATCTAATGGAATGTAGTAATGTTTTGATGAAACTTCAAACTTTCGCTAAGAATGTTGAGATAACGGTAGCCCAGAAACATACCTTGGAAAACAAGTTTTCGAAATAAGGTTTACCTGCATATGAGATGTTGACAATCAGTAGCCCATCAAAAGTTTGTCAGGTTATGAACTGAAATTCGGATAGATATCTCGTGTATTAATTCTTACTAATACTATATGTGTGGTAAAATGACTTGCAAAAACTTATTGACTAAAAGTGGATCTGCAATAATAAAACATCTACGGCCTGGTGGTTGGCAAAATTAAAACATCTACGGCCGTAGGTAGGTAATTTGAAAGTATTTTATTAAAAAAAAAAAATTAAAACTAACAGTAGAACTTCTTAGTATGCGCCTATGCGCATAGTATAGTGGAAAATCATCCATGATTTCCACCTAAGGTAAAGCGAGAGGGGCTGTCAGTCTCTTACCCTAAAACCCTCTGTTTCTGCTCCGGCCTATTAGCGTATTGTGCTGACCTCGGCTGAACTCCGTCCACGTTGAGCCCCATCTGTGGTGGTCTTTTGGCTCTTTGAAGCGCTCGCTAAACGCTACGCGCCGAACACTGGGATCTGGTTCTCATCGGACGGCGAGCTATTTAAGTTTTAGATATGTATAAAAATTAATGGCAAAAAAATGAAGACATAAAGAACTGCTACAGATGTTCCACAGTAATTTGGCCGTTTAGAGCCAAAATAGTTTTTTTAAACACACCTTACTTACCTTCCTAGTGATAAAATGGCTTGCTTTCATTTCGATCCGGTTTATCGAACATCTCACGCGTCGTCGAACGATCCACATAAATGCCTCGGAGCCTTGACCTTAACCAATAACTTTTGGCAACGGCATCTCAAAGTCTGTGTTTATAACGGTCTATAGAGTGGGAAGACTTCAATATCCTATACTTACGGCTACTTCTATTTATGTAAGGACGCCAATAGAATTTTGATTTAAACTCCATATCTGTCTCTCGTAACTTACTAAAAATTGGCGGGTGCAAGCGGAATAATGTAGGTACCATGGCTCCGCCGCCGGTCAGAGTAGGAAGAACAGGGTAGGGTTTTTTTAGCCAGTAAGAGTCTTACTATGCAGTATATTATGAGTCTGACTCTCCTTCTCGCCCCACGGTAATTTGGATTTGACGCGTATAAAATGCTATGTATTTTGATAAGTACAATCGACTAGGTAACTGTTTACCTAGGTACTTGTTATCTATGACTTTTATTCTCGTAATAAACTTTGATTTAATAGATAATAAATATCTACTTACAATACATATTATCGAATGTAAGTATGTACCTATTTATTACGTACTGTGCTTCCTTATTATTGAACATTGAAGCGGCTTGCAGCAACTTCAACCCAGATATTAAATGAACCAAACCCAGGTAATCAAATAATAAATAGAAATCTCTACTTACATAATACGAATATCCGAATATGTTTTAATTTATGCCATAGGTCGCCAAACGAGCAGACGGATTGCCTTTATTGCTTACCATCAGGTAATCAGTGAGCTCGTTTGCCGTTTACTATTTTTTTTTGGAATTTCTTATAATTATCACAAATAAATCCAAGTAGATTAATTCAATTTTGAAAACAAGTACCTATACCCGTGTTCTTAGATTATGGCCTATGTACTTAGAAGAACGAGGCGTAGGCTCTTTGTAGGCAGTCCTACTTATAATTTAGTTTAATTTCATTATTTCTTCTTTATCATTCAGTAGTAAATAGTTAGACAATGTCTATCCACAAAATAATATATGCATATGTGTAGTTTACCTGTCATTTTCACATAAATCAATGTTACTGACGTTATGTAACACATTATCAATATTTTATAAAAAACTGCTTACAAATAAAAAATACCTTTATTATAAGTTCATTACACCTACCTATAGTTAATATTCTGTGGATTAGTTTATGGTTGACTATTAAATTATGAATGAAATGAATGAACGAGATATAAAAAATACAAAAGAATATTGAGGCTTCCGAGCTCGGTAACTGGGACCACAAAACTCTTCACGCGGTCCCAATAAACGGATCGGTAATAAATTGAATTATTTTTTCAAGGTAGGTAACTGGTACCACTCATTAATGATAACTGAAATTAAAAAATGTACAGTCGACCGAAAAATTGTTTAATGTAATATTGGAAAAAAATCTAACTAAATTATTTAATTTTTTTTCGGGTCTGGCTACTGGGACCGCCGCCGTCCGAGTTTTTGTGGTCCCAGTCGCCGGATGCCTCAATATTATTTAACCTAATACAATTCTTATTTCAAAATCTTATATAATGTTTTTAAATTAGAATTGTATTATAGGTAGGTACATTACTTTAGATTTTTTTCATATAAAATTATTTGCTTAGTCTGACGGCGAAGGTCGCGAATGCGGGTTGCAACCAGATCTAGAAGCCATTCGAGGAGAACTACAGGCTACAAATGTACAGCTGCCATTTTGGGCTTTAATGTCATGTTGATGATGAACTGTCCACATTGTTATTATAAAATTTAAAAAATACTGCCAAAGCGTTGAAGTTACATCTCTGTACCTACTTTAAAATGTTTAAAAATAGATCTAAATTAAGATTTGTTAATTTGTAGTGAAAAAATAATCTGTGGAAACGAATGTATGTAGGTATAAAACATCTATCTAATAATTTCGACCAATTGACTAGTTGGCTCGTTGGTCTAGGGGTATGATTTTCGCTTAGGGTGCGAGAGGTCCCGGGTTCAAATCCCGGACGAGCCCAAATTTTTTACATTGAAATAGCATTTTCTTTACTTTTTTACTGAATTTGGTAGTATTTGGCAAGAATTGTAATGATCTATAATGAAAAAGAAGAAGTTGTGTCGTACTTTTATCATAAAAACGAAACGATTTTAACTGCCTCGCTCATAGAATAAGAGTGACTGCCAAAAAAACTTAAGGTTCGATTCCCAGTTCAGAAAGTAAGAATTGGTGGGATTTATAATAATTCTACTATCCTATAACAAGACAAACACAACTTACAAGTAAATTTTATGATTATACCTACTATAACAAAAAAAATGAAAAAAAAACTTTTTTATCAGAAACCTTTTTTATTCTTACAACAAAATTATAAACAAAATTACATACTACTTAGCTATAAATATTGGAAGCTATTCTATTTTTGAATATAACTAACTGTTGTTCATCAGTACGTTAACGATGGCATCAGACACGTAGCCGCTGTCCGACTTGATCACATCACTCGACGCGTGCGGGATAAACTTATAGAATTTCACACCTGGACAAGAAAAAACAAATAAGCTAACTAAACAGAGGATTTTCTTATTTCTCTAGAATTTTCTCGAAAAAATAATAAGTAAATTGGCTTAATTGGTAATTGACAGTCGAATTCGAAACTTTTTTCGTATTGTCAATGATCAAAATTGACAGTTGCAATATTATTTTATGACGTTATGTTTTGGCGCCAAATTGCATGAAACTATAATATTTTTTTAAGAAAAATACGGATATGTGATAAGTAAGTAAATTGTAAACTTAATTAATGAAAGTGTTTGTTGTTTTTTTTAAGAAATAAGGTAGGTACGCTAATTAACGCTAAAATACTATGACGTCATAATTCGGAGTTTCATACAAATTTCATAGAAAAGTATCGTTTTGACAAAGTATTGAATTTTACTAGTAGGAAACTACCATAAGTCGAAATTAATTTACTAGCAAGTCGTTCCTGCTTCGCATGGTTGTTGAAGATGTCAAACTACTACTCTGTATTTAATTTAGGATAATAAAATAATTTTAAACCAACCTGATGGGTTAACCCGAACTTCAAAGTTGTCTTCACTGTTCCACTGCCGTACTCCTTCATCTTTGTACAAGTCCTAAATATAAAGAAATCAAATTAAAAACTTACACGATTTTATCACTAGCTTGCAAATAGACAAATATATGTATAAGATACCCGTTACCTACATAAGCAGCGAGTATTAAATAGCACTTTACCAAAATATACTTATTATATTATTGGCAAATGTATAATAGTAGAATAAAATTTAAAAAATATTTTGGGCACAATATTGTGTCTTTTCCATTTTTTTCACTGTTTTATCACAGTCAAAAACTCATATTTGTGTATTGCTCATAAAAATTGTTATAGGCGCTGATAAAACAGGCTTTTCGCTGATAAAACAGGCTTTATAATTAACACAGGTTATTTTTATTAAATTCTTTACTTACTTGAACTTCGTATGTTCCTTTCGGTAGTTGCATTTCATTATCAGTGAAGTTAGCTGCGTATGGTATGCCGTCATCTCGTTGGCTCACAAAAGCCACCGCGTACGCACCGTCATGCAACTTGCGGTTCCAAATCTCCAGGCGAGATCTCTGATTAGTGAAATAAGGTAATTTAAATAAATGATCTTTTTAGTGGAGAAAAACATGACAAGGATACCTAACTTAAATATTTTAAGTATGAACGTGCCTTGATAGTGTAGTAGGGTAAGGTAGTGATTGATGCTTAAAACAATGCTAAAATGTAATCCTCACTACTCAATATAAAAGTGACTTAGACGAATTCACACAGTTTCACAAAAACGTTGCCCTACACTACTAGGTGTGTCGTAGGTGCGTTTACAAACATATAATTTCACATATACATCACACCCACAACCGGAACAACAATTTGAGGATCACACAAATTATTGTTCCGTGCGGGAATCGAACCCGCGACACGTTACGCGGCAGCCAGTTGGCCAGCCACCACCAGCCACAGTTTGTAGTAAATGTTTTCTAAAGAGAGGCTTAACTCCCCTAGTCCTTAGGGGCCATGGTTGCTACCGATTGCTTACCATCAATCTATATAGGTACCTTATCGTTATTTATTTTTCAAAAAAACCTTCATAGTTAGGGCATTAGCGTCGAAACTAGAACTGAGTCTCCAAAAACCAGCCAGAAATGATTTGCACCAAAAGTTTACAAACACATTTAACGGATCTGCCAGGAGCTAAGCTAGTGACAGGAGTAAATAACTCCTGTATGCTTAAATAACACAACTCACAACTCCACGATCAGTTTTCTTCCACACCCTCAATCCTTGTTTCCCAAGAGGGTCCTGGTTCACAGCAATGACGTCCTTATTCAGCAGGATTGCCTTGAACTCCGGCTTGATGGTGGCCAGGTCTACGCTCATGAGGAGAGGGGCAGCCAATATCGACCACACCGCCATCTGCACGCGAGCCTGGTCTTCTGTTAGACCGAAGTTTCCTATCAGTAACTGCAAAAGAAAAAAATGGGTACCCTTGTGTTTTCGGCTTATTCATGAGCAGCATTCCGCGACACGCGACGCGGCGACTGTCGTCCTGCTATACTGAATATGGGCCTCTAGCATGGCTTGAAACTAGTCGAGTATCTCGTGTCGTGTCGTGAAAATATAATAATTAATTTAAGTCTCACGAAAGTTATAATGTGTACCTTTCCTATAATATGAAATTTTCTGGACTAGCGATCTCCATATTAGCGAACCGGTGGCAGGTATTGTTACCGGGAGACTTCGGAAATGTATAAATAAGAGAATACTATAGCCACCATTTTATAATTCCCAATATGGTAATTTTTTAAACGACTATTTAGCTCAAAAGGTCACTCTAATCAGTTCCAACGTAAACAAAATGCATTTTGTTTCGTGTTATTGTATTTTTTTTATGTAGTAACGTATCTCATATCAATACACAAAATGACCAAACCCCATCAATTCACATAGAATTTTAAATATCTGGACTAAATCCATCTTCGCTCACCATATCAGGGTCATTCCAGTGTCCAGGGCCTGCATGCTGTGCCAGCCTATCCTGGTTGTCTCCGAACCAGTTCATGATCTTCGTGAGGGACACCCACGAGTCCTCAATGTCATCCCAGTTACGCCACATATTGCAGTGTTCAGCTATCGCGGAGTAATCCGGCTGTAAACAATTTACAACAGGTTATAGAAAAAAAACGTCGTGGTGGGCCGGATGGTTCCAAACCTGATAAGTACCAATGTGACTTTTCCGAGCTTCACGTACTTTGTAAGCTTATTAAGACACCACTGACATACTGTGAAGGAAAACATCGTGAGGAAACCTGGACTTATAATTTCTACTTAGACGATTGAAGTCGCCAATTCAATCTTGACCAAACGTGTTAATTAATGCTCAAACCTTCTCCCTGTGAAACGAGGCGTTTGCTCAGCAGTGGGCACTTTTAGGATGATGACGATGATAGAAATTACGTCATGTGGTGATAGCAGACAATACAATACACTTGTCACAATTTTATAAGAACCAACCATAGGATTATGACAGAGTGCAGGCAAGCAGTTGTTCTCTGATAAATCTGAACCTATCTGTCAAGCGTGGGGATTATAACACACTCGATATAGACTGTATATGTATGAAGGGGAAGTAAAATTTCAGCGGCAGCGGTGGAAATTAATGTCAGTAAAACAAAGGTAATGAGAAATCAATTGTAATAAAAGGAAACATATTTACATAAACAAGACTATGACGGGCTTGTCCAAAAAATAAAGTACACATATGGAGTATTTAGGCAGCTGACGCAGATGTAGAAAAAGAAATTACATTTAAAAAAAACCAACAATGACAAAGAAGTAACAATAAGAATCAAGATAATGTAGAAAAAATCTGGACACTGAAAGAGATTCTATAGAAATACAGTGCCATGTCTTCTGTATGACTGATAGACACACGTCAAGAAATCCAAACAATATATTAAAAGAACCCAAACGGTCGTGGAAGGAAGCAGTAATCGTTCAAGAAGAAAGGTAAAGTCAAAAACAAATGAAATGGACAAAAACAAAACTTACAGATGATGCCCTAATACATGCACGTAGATTAAAACGGAGGCGAGGTGCACACATAACAGGCTATGCAAACAACAAAATGTAAAAATATTAAGTACATTTTTTTATGTGATAGGTCGGCAAACGAGCAGACGGATTACCTGATGGTAAGCAATCAGCGCCGCCCATGGAAACCCGCAACGGAGGAGTTGCGAGTGCGTTACCGACCTTTTAGGGATTAGGGATTTGGAGATTTAGGGATTGAGGAGGGATTGGGGGAGGGGAAGGATTGGGCCTCCTAATTAAGTATCATTTTAATTAATTAGTAGCAAATAACATTTGAAGTTTAACTTTCTTATTTTAAGCTGAATGTCATTAAATGGCTGCTTTCGGTGGAGCAAGATTGAGAGTCAGACTCTTAATGACCAAAAATCACCCCGCTCCTTCTGCTGCTGTGGACCAGGGCCGGCGAACATCATTGCGTTTAAAACCGCAACTCAAGCTTATACACTGTTAAAGCCTAATTGGGTATGTCCTTTCAAATTCATTGTGCGTAGTTGAATAAAAAAAATAAGGAAAACTACCCATAAGGACGATTGCCATTCAAGGAGACAGGAAAGATTTATAAATTACTAAAGGTCAAATCGCTAAGTCGAAATTTCATTCCAAACAATGAATTAGACTTACAAGCATTTTAGCATCTTCTTGATAAGCCGGCCAACTGCAAGAGTAGAGAATCTGTCGACCCGTGTCATTCAACATTTTCCCAAATGCAGGGTATCCTGGAAGACACAGAAGGTTAATTATTTTATATGCTTAAAAATAAAATCGCTACCACGCAGCAGAGGGTGGACAACTTTCGCTCTGTATCAGACATACGTAATTCTCTTTTTTTCTGTATTAACAAAAATACATAAATATTTAGTAAACCTGGCTATTGGATACCTTGGTCAGGTGTTGTGCTTGTAATAAATTCAAACCAGCAAAGAACTTTCACATTTTTCATTTATTTACTGAGAATTGTCTTAATAAGATAAGCTTTAAATGTGGGAGAACCATACTTCGGCCCGAATAGGTCGGCTCGAACAGAGTGATACCACGACTTCACAGAAAACCACCAAATCTCCAAATTCATTATAAAAAGGTCGGCAGAGCACTCGTAACATTTTTATTGTTACGGATGTCAGGTAAATCAAATAATCCGTATGCAAGTTTGCCGTCCTATTGCATAAAAAAAATACTCACCAGAATCCATCGCACTAGGATTGATGTAGCATCCATCGAGCTTGAGGTAGTCTATCTCCCAGTCCACGAAGGTTTGGATGTCGAGACGCTCGTTGCCAAGCACACCAGGGTATCCAGCACATGTCAGGTTCCCATAGTCTTCGTACATGCCAAATTTCAATCCTTTGCTGTGGATCTGGAAAATACATGGATGAAGTTATAAATCAAATAACATCAACCATTCGATAGATACATTCACATTTTTGTCTGATAGGATAAAACTATAAAGCGTCACCTGCTACGATGCTTAGGAACATTCTCCTAGCTTCTGGTCTATTCATTCATCTGGGGGGGAGGGGGTAACCATGACATTTATATGACTTCTGGTCTATTCAAAGTAGAGAGAAAGAGCTATACAAGTTGTCTGGCTCTGTCTCTTACCCACACTGAAGTAAGATTAAAACAATCTTACTTTGCACGTCCGGTTAGCCCCCTGGTCCCACAAGCACAATGATTAAGAGTATTCCACACCTGGGCTTCTTTTAGGATAGAAACTCTCGCCATACTCAATCCTTAAATCCGTAACCTCGTGGATGCGTATAAGGGGCGTCGATTGCTTAAATGCTTACCTACCTTCTGTTGCTGTTTGCCGTACTGTGATATGTATAAATATAAAGATTCTGTTTTTAGCCATTTGGCTACACGATACTTTCTGTCTGGGCTTACGTACCTTTGCTTTTGTTAATCGGCATGGTATGTCTTAACTTTCGTTACAGTACAGTCATCAATCCTATCGTTATCGGTACAATTTTCTTTTCCATGGCCTATTTTTTTCTAAATTGTGCCAGATTTTGATTTCTTAAAGTTACTTACATAGTCAGCAACAGCTTTCATTCCATTAGGGAACCTCTCTTTGTCAGGCACCATGCGTCCGTCAGGACCTCGTTTCTTCTCCAACCAACAGTCATCGATACCCAGATACTCATATCCAGCATCAAGGTAGCCTTCATTCACCATCAGATCTGCCGTCCTCTTGATTAAGTTTTCGCTGAAATTTGGAAGACCAGGCTTAAGATTCTTTTGTTTAAGTGCAAATGCTAATTGCTGACTTTGCACACACATCAAGATTTTCCAAACACAGATACCCAATATTTCTGATTAAGCAAATCTTGCTTAGAGCAGAAAAAAGACGAACCTACAACCTGAACCTAATCACGAATTACAGAATCAACACTACACCAAGAAAAGTGCAAACATAAAACCAAATAGACATCATTTCTCAAGCAACAAAACTGTAAACTTTATTGGATCTTTAAATCGATTCAGGTACTGTCTATCATTCTAAGAATACACAGACGTGTAGCTCTAAGAATATAAATGTAGGTAACGGCATAGGCAGAACAGATCATGCATAAACATGGTTGCTAACTGTAGAACGAATCTCCTTAGAATAGCCACGACAAAATCTTAACTAAACTATGTCGTCTAGTTCCACTGATTTTCATAATTTGCTCCATTTTCAAACAAATAGTCTAGTATACAATATTAGTTACCTAATTATACGAAAAGCAAAATCCGTTACGAAGACCTTCAATTCGATCAGCTAAGATCTGATGCTTTCTTAAAATATGACTTCCGTATTTCAGAATTCGATTAGATCTAGTTTACTTTTTCTATTCGTAAACTGCTCAGTAAAAACTTCAAATATTTAAGTTAACCCAGAAGGAAAGGAGGCTATATCTAACTCTCAAAAGGCCGGTGACACACTCAACTTAAAACCCCTTTGCTGTGTCGATATGTGGTACTGATTGCTTACGTGCAGGTGATCCATCTATTCTTTGCAAAGGCTTGGCAGAAGCCTTAGGGATCGCGGTTAGATTACCGCTCTAATAAGAGCTCGTCCGTCTGAAACTACCTGGTTGCAGTTTTGAGATATACATATTATAATTGTTTAATCTATTTATTTTCTTCTTACCTGATACATTCATTGGGATACTTCTTGCAATCTGTGATGCATCGAAACCGCTCCCAAGTAAGCCAACCCATCGGAGGAGTTAGGGCCAGCCCATTGTCCAGGGCCAGACTCGAAGACACCCCCACCAAGAATATTAGCGTCACCAGCATCTGAAGATCACGTCGAATTGTTTTAAGGAGAATACTTTTGCAAATATTTATGCAGGGTTAAGGCTTATTTTAACAACTTTTCCCGATGTTCCCCTTTAAGTTTCTAAAATGTTCTTTTATGAAGAAACATTTTCGGAGTTATATCAACGACAACTAATAAAGGCATCGTAAAAATTGGTCCAGGAATTATTGAGTTATGCGCTCACTAACTCATTTTTATATACATAGGTATAAGTGTATAGAATCATCATCATCATCATTATCAGCCATAGGACGTCCACTGCTGAACATAGGCCTCCCCCATTGACTTCCAGATAGGCCGGTTGGAAGCGGCTTCCTACGACCTTAATCAGGTCGTCTGTCCACCTTGCGGGTGGACGTCCTACGCTGCGCTTGCCGGTACGTGGCCTCCACTCGAGAACCTTTCTGCCCCAGCGGCCGTCGGTTCTACGCGCTATGTGCCCTGCCCATTGCCACTTCAACTTACTAATCCGCTGGGCTATGTCGGAAACCTTTGTTCGGTATACAATGTGTAGAATATAGATAATTATATAGATAGGTATGTGCATCTCTGGAAGGAATAACCTCACCTTCGGGAAATAAGAGAAGATTCTATGCGACGTTTTAATTTTTAAATAACATAAAAATACTCAAACAATTTTGGGACAATAATAGGCCTTATAACCTGAATAGCTCATGGTCAATAACCTAAGTTCTATAGTTCCTGCTAAACAAAATGGCAACGTTCATTGTAGATCGGTTTTATAAAACGTATAATAAATCTATTGTAATAGGTATACTTAATTTAGATACGAGTTGATGCTGAAACATCAAACATGCAACATCAAAATCTATTTTCAATTATTAAATAACTCAGCTAATTAAATTATTTGGCCATCTTGTTAACGGCCTGTTTCATAGCTGATATCGTGGTACAATTTTGGTCGATGTTTTTTTCCTAGCAATTAGATTTTTTGCGAGTCGCAGTTCTAACCTAATCTAACCGACTATTCTTGTCTGGACCCTTTCAACGACCATCCTATCGCCCTTCATTACGGGGTAAATGACAAATTCAGCCTTTTAATCAAATGGCTAGTCATTCCGAGCATTACTTGAATGACTAATTCAACTAGTTGGCTGTTCTTTATTTCGTCTTAAAAATAGCCTGTGGGGCAGACGATTATACAATTTAAATAACAAAAGCCGCCATTTGTCGAATACCTACACATAAAACACTATAATCAATTTGATGTCATTGACCGCAGCGACATAAGTTTATATATGCATATACATAGGTATGTGCAATGTCAACCACCTCATTATTAAATAGCCAATAAAAACACGAAATAATAATTTAAAAAGTACCTACGTACCTAGAATATTAGGTACGAATTCTATAGTCAAAAATTTGTTTGCTTAAAAAATTAACATAGATGGTAAATAATTTTGATCTTTAAACTATTGAGAATAAGTTTCATTATCATCATTACCGGGGCCCGTTTCCGTTGACCGCTGGTCGTAGATCATTGGACTAGATTTTTAGGTCTACATAATTATACAACCTGGTAGAAGGTCGAAGCCGTTGCATTATCATCAGCCTATAAGGGTCTATTAATGAGCAAAGCAAAGGTCTCTTCACCTCTACACATGTGGTGAAGATTGAGCATCATTACGCTTGTTCAAGACCAAAGGACATTTAAAACATATACTTTTATAATAAATTATGAATCCAAGTTTCGTCACGATCAGCAGGGCTCGCGGTTGTAAGCGCGATAATGTACCGTGGCCTCGGCAAAGAGCAGGAAAAGGAACGAAGTGGTTTTTAGTCAGTAAGCGTCTTAAACTCATTTGCATGAAGCAACCCTAACAAATAAAATACAAACAACATTCGACTATGACCCCTTTTGAAAAATTTAAAATGAGAGACATTACCTACAGAATTATTTACTTGTCAATAATTATAACAAACCGAGAATCAATTCAGATTTTATATAATAGGTAGAAATACAATTAACTTTCTCACGTTTGGACTAGAATGTCAATGACAATATGTATAACATGTTGTGCAAATACGCGAGTTTATTTGTCAATTACGAAGGTCAGAAAAATATTAATACACAGACATCAATATTATATCATTATTATATATTTACCTATTGAATATGACGATGTTGAGAAAATCGCATAGGTAAATCGGAAAAACTAATAAATCGTTGAAAATATTGTTTTTCAATCTAGTGTTTAAAATAATATAGTTAAAACTATCTGTAACACATTGAACATCGCGAAAGTTTTCAAAGGGGATAAAATCGCTCGAAAACTTAGTTCAAGCAAAGACGGCGCGAAAATAAATACCTGCCATTTTTATTTCGCTTTTTGAACAAGCTCGAAATAAGGTCATCATACCACTAGTCACTAGACAATATAAATATTTACACAATAACCCTAAGGAATGTTATAAAGTAAGTAGGTGAAATATTTGCACAAAGCTGGTTAAAATTTTCTTAGCAAAGTAACTATGGTTGAAATTATTTTTTATTCAAAACATCTAGGATGGAGAATGTAATAGAAATTCTATAGAACTAATTCAAAATTTCAAAAATCTATTACATTGGACAGCTCGTCGCGTATATATCAATTGGGTAGTTTCGTAAGTCAAATATATAAATTAATTCGACGTTTCAATACAATATAATATTGAAAAATAACAAATTTTATTCATCGATCTGTCGATACAATAAATTTTCAATATTTTTTAAAGATATAAGTAAGTTATTTGACGCAAAATAACGAGAAATTTGGATAAAAGTATTGAATTTGACTACTTAGTTGCAAACTACCGGTTTGACTACCAACAAGACAAATTCAATTTATTTTTCGAATTGTCAAAGTCGAAAACCGTATTCAAAATTTTGTACCGAAAATTGGCTGCCTGTTGATGTTTTAATTTTTTTGCTTCAAAACAGTAGATACATGACACGTTCCTAGGTAAGGATAGGTTAGAAAGAAAAATACGAATGTTAGGTAAATCGTAATATTAATGAAAGTATGATTCTGTGCTAATGTCTAATAACATTAAAAAACCGAAACAATTAATTTTTTACCTTACTAAGAACTTATTCAATTCAATTTCCATTCAATGAACGAAGCCACAATAGCCGATGTATATAATAGGTGTCTAATAGGAGCATTAGGTAATTATGTAAAATTCCAGTTACAAACAAATTAGATATTTTTTTTTAAAGATAATTAATTGCATTTGCTTTTAGCGGGAAAACCCGCACTTTCGCTCCCACTCTGCCCTAGTCTAGCCTACCCTATTCAACCTTTCTTATTATCTCACGTTATCGTACTCCACTGTACCTAACTTATATATTAGGATTTTACCTTTTTTCGTAAGTATTCTTGACTATACAGAAGACAAACAAAACCCTACAAAAGAGAATTATCTAAATCGGTTCAGCTGTTCTTGAGATTCGCGCATAGCAACATTAGCGATTAGTTTCTATAATCCGGATATATGTTTACTGTTTCATTAAATAGATATAATAATAATAAATAAAAAAATATCAAAGGTGTAATAAGAGTTAAGTAAGTAAAATAAAAAGTAAAATACAACAAACGTAGTAAACGTTTGTTGTATTTTTAATTATTTTTAATAACTGATGTATTTTACGTGTACAAGACCGATGTCTGTTCATTTATCTGTAAGTAATCAAATCTTGCTAATTAAATTTGTTTCACTTTTGCTTATGCATAGACTGAGAAATAAAAGAAGCGATCTTTTAAAAATTTCGCAAGTAATCTGTATGATATATTGTAGGTAAGCAAACAGAATAATTTTTAGTTGCACAAAAAAAAATCGTGTCACAGGGTCCTTGTGTCCTTGTGTAATATTTTATTTTTTAACATTATTTAATCATTTAACAACAACACCAAAAACAATCAACAAAGCCGAAAAAATTGAAATAAATCCAGTCACAATGTGCTACTTACCGCGCCAAATTCAAATAATGATCACGTTCGAATTTTTGAAAAAGTTAAAAGTTGTGTAGTTTTTTTTTTATTTCACAGGCACAAATAATTGCGTAAAATTTACACCGACCCAGAGAGCAGGGCGTCGATGGCCGCGTCTATGCAGTGCGCGGACCTAACAAGTTTTGATCGCTAAATGATAAGGATAAAATTGTTGACACACTATGCTCGTGCATATAGCTAGTTGGCTACAAGTAATACCTGTTATCTTGTCCATAGAATCTCGAATAAGTTGTCCAAAATAAACAACTTAGCATAAAAGATAAAAGAAAATTAAATCGTGTATATAAAATTCAATTTTGTAGTTGCAGCGTAACTAACTACGAACATTGGTAACAAAAGCGAATGGTTTTGTTATGACTAAGACAAAATATATAGACAAAAGACAGTTCTGTTGTTGCTATGGTGTGCAAAATTTTTATATTTCTATTGTTGTCGAAATACATAGGTAAAAATTATATTCATCATGGTCATGGATATAAAGACTATTTTAATATAAAACAATTATGTTTTAAATAGTGCTTACTTAGTTCCTTTATTAGTCACAAAGCTGTGATAATTGATTAGGAACTTAGTTTACATTTTAGTTTACGTTACGCCACGCCAATGTGAAAAATGTGTAGGACGCTCTTCTAGGGATTTCGTTTTCTAAACGGTCAACCCAAAAGGCCGACATTGCAGTTGTAATTTCTTTAATTGTTTACCTGTGACTGTGCGCGTTTACCGCAATATCTTATAAAATAATGAGGAATTTTCGAACCAAATTTTTAGAGATCACAAGTTTTAGGGACTTGTTTCCATTCTATGAAACTTGAGTTAGCACCTATACTCAATGTTATAAGTCTGATAATAACTGAGCATTACTTAATCGCAATTTAATATTATCAGAATAATATAGTTGACTGCACGGTTGGCGCGGTGGCTGGGCAACTGGCTGCCGCGCAACGTGTCGCGGGTTCGATTCCCGCACGGAACAACTCGTTGTGTGATCCACAGTTTGTTGTTCCGGGTCTGGGTGTGATATGTGCATGTGAATTTGTATGTTTTTAAACGCACCCACGACACAGGAGAAAATCATAATGTGGGGTAACGTTTTATTTAAAAAAAAAATCGATATTTTTTATGCGGGTGGAATATGACTAAATGTCTTCTCCCGCGTTCTTCTCCCTAGGAGCAATGGGGAGTGTAAGACTCTTACTGACTGAAAAGCACCCCGTTCCTTCTCCTGCTCCAGGTTGATGCTGCAATACATTACATTGTACTTGCCCAGCAATGCCACCAGTACAGTCAGTAAATCATGGTTATTATCAGGGATGTTATGGATATGAAATTTCGGTTACGGATTGGATACGGATATAGGAATGATTATTATACCGGATACGGTTACGGATACGGATAATAAATTATTTCGGATTATCCGTTAGTTTCGGTTACGGATATTATATTTTTAAGGAATTTTAAGGATCCATAAGTAAAATTCTTCGTACTTATCACTATGTTGTGATTTAAGGTGAAGTTTTAGCGATGTAGTCCCACCTCCTTTCCTTGAAAAGCTTTTACCACACTGTTTACATTTTGCGGAATCGGTCATTTCATCAAAAAACGACCAAACTGATGAACGGCCTGCCGATCAAAACAACTTGTCATAACGTGTCTCAATTAGGCTCCGCCCCTATCCGATACTATCGGCAGTGGTTGAACATCGAACTCAGAGACGTGTAATTGGAGGGGCCTGTGTCTAGCAGTGGACGGACACAGGCCGATGATGAAGATGATGATGATGTTTCTAATTCTGATGATGAAATGAAAATGAAAATAAATAAACGTGAAATGTATTTGTTAGAGGAAAACCTATATGTATTAAAATTGTAAATAAAGAAAGAAAAAGAAAGATTGTACCTATCTGATAGTAGGTATAATAGGTACAGACGACATACTCTAAGAAAAAAAACAAATCTTACGCTAAAAAACAAAAGTCATGCGTATTGGAAAGATCTCCATATAATTTTATCTTATATTGATAAACCAAATTCAGTTCACCTGGTTATATGTTTCTTAAAGTTCTAGTGCTACCGGTACTAAGTAAGTACTTGACATACATACAAATTGGTTAGTTTAGATAAATGTTAGTAGGTACCTAAGTACAAAGGTTTATCTTATCTGCATTAAAAAACAACTTTTTAGTTCGACAACAAACGTTAAGTGACGTTTGCTGTCAAAATAAATGGTTTTTTGGAGTGAGAGCAGGGTTTCTTCTTATTAGTGAACTCGAGGCTGTCGTGGTTTGGAAATGATTTATTCGGCTACATATCCCTACTTATATTTACATGTCTTATGGCTAACTTATACACTATCACACATATGTAAATACAATTGACCAATAGCAGCGCGCGTTCGTCGCAAGGCTCGACGGAGCGGTAGCGCGCATGCGCCGTCACGGTCGCCGTTCGTCGCGATGTCGCGAGCACAGCGCGAGGCTATAATAGGGCGCGTGCCGCGTGATGCGTCCTTTCGCTCCGGTGCCGCCGACGACTACACACGTGTTCAGTGTCGTGGACCGCAACTTCGTGTCTTCGTGTGCTTCGAGCTTCGCTTCTGCTTGCTTGCCTGCTTATTTGCTTGCTCATTATATTTCGTTTCTGAACAGAAGTCAAAAACGTTTTAAAACGTCTTTTTCAAGACGAGTTTCTGTCAGCAGAAGTCTAAAACGTTACAAGCGTCTTTTTCAAGACGAGTTTCTGTCAGAAGTCTAAAACGTTTGCAACGCCTTTTTCAAGGCGGCCTGTTTCACTGTTTCTGATCACAGAAAGTCAAAACGTTGGTATTGGTTTGTTGTTCACGGAGGTATGGTAAAGGTAATCTGGTTCTTCAAGGAGGTACGGTAATGGTTATCTGGTAATAGGTATGAGGCGTGCTAGTTATGCCATAGAATGTAGGTAGGTATGTATGTATGCCGCTATATCACTCCCCCCTAAGCGAAGCGTACGTTTGGTTTCACTGTACGGCCGGTGCGGGTGACGTAGGCGTCGCGGGGTGGGGTGAATGACATTGTCCGTGCGTCGTTACTTGTAGTTATAGGTAGATAGGTCGATGTTTTTTCGCGCGGAGTTGCTGTAGGTACAAAGTCTTGCTGTTGGCGCGAAGTCGTTGTAGGTATCTTGTCTTGTTGTTGTTGGCGCGTAACTGATGTTGATAGAGTGTCGTCTTCGTTGAGTAAGTATGCTGGTTTGAGTCTGTCTATTGAAACAACTGCAGTACGTGGATACATTTGTATGGTGAAATGTTTGCTGTCGCGCCGAAGTACTTTGTAGGGGCCGTCGTAGGGAGGTACTAGCGGGCTGCGCACGGTGTCATTGCGCACGAAAACATGTGTACACGTAGCAAGGTCTTTGTGTACAAATGACCTTGTGGAGTTTGAGTGTGGCTTGCTGTTCGGCGATAATGTAGACATCGTTTCGGTCAGCTGACGGACGAATTCGGCGTCATCGATGTTCGGCTGAGTAGGCACGAAGAAATCAGATGGTACGCGGAGTGTTGAACCGTAGGTCATGAGTGCCGGGCTGACTTCATTGTCTTGTCGTAATGCTGTACGTAGGCCGAGTAGCACAGTTGATAACTCGTCGCTCCAGTTTGTGCGCGCGCATCTCGCCATGAGTGCTGACTTCAAGGTACGGTGCCAGCGCTCGACTTGTCCGTTTGCTTGAGGGTGGAAAGCAGTAGTCCGTATTCTGTTTATTCCACATTTCTTCATCAGTGCCTTAAACAGTGACGACTCGAACTGTCTTCCTTGGTCGGTCGTAAGTCGTAGCGGGCAACCAAATCTCGATATCCAACCGTCGTAAATAGCCTTGGCGATCGTGTCCGCGGTGATATCGCGTACTGGTATAGCTTCAGGCCATTTTGTGCAGCGGTCAATCATGGTGACTAGATATCGGTAGTCATTTGACGGCGGCAGTGGTCCCACGATGTCGACGTGAATATGTTCGAAACGCTGGGATTTTCCGAACTCGCCGAGCGGGCTGATAGTGTGCCGCTGTACCTTTGCTCGCTGACAACCGATGCATGTTCTTGCCCATGTTCCGACTTCTTTATTCATGTTCGGCCAGAAGAACTTCGTAGATATTATTTTTCTAGTAGTACGCACGCCTGGGTGACTTAAGTCGTGTTGCGCTTTGAATGCGACAAAACGATATTTCGCGGGTAAATATGGACGAATGTTGCCTGTCGATGTTTCACAGATAAGCGGACGTTGACCTCCGGGTAGCGAAATACTGGTGAACTGTAGGTTTGGATGTGACATGTATCTCTGTAGTTCTGAGTCGTTTTCCTGGTCTTGAGCAAGTTGATTGTAGTCGATGGAAGTTTGAGATAGGTCGATCTCTTCTATGCGTGATAAGGCGTCGGCCGCTTCGTTGTTATCACCGTGCACGTACTTTATATTTGAACAAAACTGACTAATGAAGTGAAGTTGTCGTTCTCTTCGTGATGTGTCGCTGGTACTCGGTGATCTTGTTAGTGCATAGGTGAGAGGTTTGTGGTCGGTATATATCGTAAGGTCGTTGCCTTCTATTAACCTACGAAGGTGTTTGACAGAAATGTACATCGCTAATAATTCGCGATCGTACACACTGTAACGTCGCTGCGTCTCGCTCATTGTTTTTGAGAAAAATGCTAGAGGTTTCCACACGTTGTCTACTTGCTGTTGCAGTACGGCGCCGATGCTTGAGTTTGAAGCGTCGGTATATAAGCGTAGTGGCGCGTTATGTATCGGGTGCGTGAGAGTAGTAGCGTCGAGGATGCTTTGTCGACATTTCTCGAAGGCTAGCTCTGCTTCTGGCGTCCACGTTATCGGAGTCTTGTCTTTTTTCTTGGTGTTATGTAGATATTTATTTAATTCATGTTGGTATTCGGCTTGATGGGGTAAGCAGCTGCGGTAAAAGTTAATCATGCCGAGGAATCTTCTTAAATCTTGAATTGTTTGTGGTTTTGGGTAGTTAACTATTGCTTGTATTCGGTCTTGAGTGGGTTTGATTCCTTCTGGTGAGACTTCGTACCCCAGAAATTCGATGTTTTGTTTGTCGAACTCGCACTTATCGATGTTGAGACTGACGCCGTAGGTATTTAGGCGTTCGAGTACTATTTCGATGTGACGTCGATGTTCATCTTGATTTTTCGAGTGCACAAGTAGATCGTCGACGAAACAAAACACTATGTCGTCAAGTCCTCGTAGTACTTCGTGCATGAATCGTTGAAAGGTCTGTCCTGAGTTTCTTAGGCCGAATGTCATGCAGTTGAATTCGAAGAGACCAAACGGAGTTATTATTGCTGTTTTCTGTGCGTCTTCTTTAGCGATGGGAATCCAGAAGTATGCCATCTTAAGGTCGAGTTTCGAGAATATTTTCTTGCCGTGAAGTTGGTAGGTAAAATCTTGTATTCGAGGTATAGGGTAGCGATCAGGTACTGTAACAGCGTTTAGTCTTCTGTAGTCGCCGCAGACTCGAAGTGAACCATCTTTTTTCTTGACGACGTGCAGTGGACTCGCCCAAGGACTGTTAGAGGGTCGGCAGATACCCATCTCAATCATGCGCTCGAACTCAAGTTTTGCTGCCTTGTATCTGTCGGGCGGTAGGGGTCGCGCCCGTGAGTATATAGGCGGTCCGGTTGTCTCTATATGGTGAGTGACGTCATGTTTCACAGGAGTCTTCAATGACATAGGTCGCAGAACATCGGGATATTTCTTTAGTAGGTCGTGATAAGCGTGATCGCGGTTTACCATGTAGACGGTGTCTTGTTCGGTGCCGTTGATCTTGATCGCGTTTACACTAAGTTCGGTGATGCGGTCGATGAGTTTTCTTTGGTGAAGGTCGACTAATAGTTGATGATGTACCAGGAAGTCTGCGCCCAGTATCGATGTATTTACGTCGGCCACGACGAATGTCCACCTAAATCGTCTTCGTAAGCCTAGGTTGAGCTCGAGTGTGCGCTCTCCGTAGGTACGAATTTCGGTGCCGTTGGCCGCGAACAGTTTGTATGAAGTCTTCGCCGGCTTGATATGTTTTTTGTTTCTTGCTGATAGGACTGATATGTCTGCTCCCGTGTCTACAAGAAATTTCTCTCGGAGGTTGATGTCTATAATACATAGTCGGCGGCTGGTTTGGTTTACATCGACGCCCGCCAACGTCGATGTACTTTCTAGTTTTCCCGCTGCTTTGAACACGGCCACAGTATAAATATCATACAGTATTTTAACTCGGCCGCTTGAAAGAAATAAATACCTACAGCCGCGCGGTACGTAAACATGCGTTAGGGCTGCTCGTCTCCAGTATTTTAATTACCTTTGTCTACTTTCTGTTTCCATTTAGTTTTGTGATTGTAAATATCCTTTTTTTATATAAACAAATAAAGTGCTTTAAAAATAAACAAACAAAATTTCTTTGGCCACTAATGCCGAACTGAACAGCTGACTACGAATGTTCTAAAATCACAACCCTCAAACATCAAAATATTACATGAGTCTAGCTGTTTTATTGTTGTTATTAAATATTTTCTAGTATTATTCATAAACGCAGATAATAAAAAAATATTATTATTAATAAAATACCACACTCTCTACTTTGAATTATACAAACTAACAAAACATACATGAACCGTTTTAACACAAGCGTAAGTAGGTAGGTACCTAACGTATCGTGATTCATTCAGAACCAGAACCGCCTATAACTACCTATTTCACTCGTCTCAATAACTTTATTCATATTATTTATAAATTCAAACATCTTTTTTCGTGAGATAACTGGAAATAATGATCCATAAAGACACACTAGGCTACTAGAGCCTAGGTAGGTACATAATGTCTGTCTAAGTAAAATTATTTTATAGTCTTACCTTTCAGAGTTTCCAGGTAATTTAAAAAAAACTTATGTCTGGATGCGTTATTGACGAATTTATGCAACCAAACATAATAACAGCACAATATTTCCTATTCGTCATATTAAATAATGTAATCGAGCTTATTTCTAAATAAAAGACAACACACCGTCCGTTCGTCACTACGGTACAGCCGCGTCTGTCTGCGTCCCGAGCGCGTCCCGACATCGGGCGCGTAGGTATAGTTCACGTTTCGGCCGTTTCTATGAAGTTGAAATACTTGTAGATATTATTACCTTGACACGGCGGTTCGCATTTGCGTGCTTGGTCGCCGAATCTGTAGTGGTAGCGACACACCCAATTCGGGTCGCCGGGCTTGATATTGTTATGCGTGTGATGTCTGGATCTTGATTGGAAGCGTGAACGGTTGCGGTGTGGAAAGCGCGGGAAATGTCGGTGGTTTTGCTGGTTGGTACGGAGTTCGGCGATTTCAAGTGATAGCTTTTCTATTTGTTTCGACAGTAAGGCGATGTGTAAGTTGTCTTGACATGCTGTTGCTGTGGAGACTGCGTTGACGGATGCTGGCTCGAAGTGCTCAATCATTTTGTCAGCCATTGCGGCTAGCATCTCGAGTGATGACTCTGTGTTGACGGAGAGTACGGCGCGTATTTGAGCTGGTAGTTGATTCAGCCACATTACTTTAAGTGCCTCGTCGGACAGGAGTTTGCCGCTGAGGTCACGCATCTTGCGGAGTAGCTGGCTCGGTTTTTGGTCGCCGAGCTCGAGACCACTCAGCAGTTTCTGTAGCTGGCGATGGTCAGACTCTTGATACGTGGAGATCAGCCGTTCTTTCAGTGTGCTGTACTTGCCGGACGCTGGGGGGTTCAAGATGATGTCGGCGATCTGTTCTAGGTCGTTGTTGCCGAGCAATGGTACGACGAGGTTGAATTTCTGCTCTTCTCCTATTTTACTGGCGGCGACAGCTGCCTCGAATTGCGCAAACCATAGGCGAGGATTTTGGCGCCAAAATGGTGGCAATCTGGCGGGCAGGGATATTGTCGCCACGTCGCTCTTCACTGTGGTTACGCCGTGGGCGTCGCTGTATTCTTCGCTTGTCATATTTCTTCTGACTTGCAGGGATTTTTCTGTCTTGATATTTATTTGTGTTCTTTTTCTTCAGGAGGGTCACCAATTTTGGAGTGAGAGCAGGGTTTCTTCTTATTAGTGAACTCGAGGCTGTCGTGGTTTGGAAATGATTTATTCGGCTACATATCCCTACTTATATTTACATGTCTTATGGCTAACTTATACACTATCACACATATGTAAATACAATTGACCAATAGCAGCGCGCGTTCGTCGCAAGGCTCGACGGAGCGGTAGCGCGCATGCGCCGTCACGGTCGCCGTTCGTCGCGATGTCGCGAGCACAGCGCGAGGCTATAATAGGGCGCGTGCCGCGTGATGCGTCCTTTCGCTCCGGTGCCGCCGACGACTACACACGTGTTCAGTGTCGTGGACCGCAACTTCGTGTCTTCGTGTGCTTCGAGCTTCGCTTCTGCTTGCTTGCCTGCTTATTTGCTTGCTCATTATATTTCGTTTCTGAACAGAAGTCAAAAACGTTTTAAAACGTCTTTTTCAAGACGAGTTTCTGTCAGCAGAAGTCTAAAACGTTACAAGCGTCTTTTTCAAGACGAGTTTCTGTCAGAAGTCTAAAACGTTTGCAACGCCTTTTTCAAGGCGGCCTGTTTCACTGTTTCTGATCACAGAAAGTCAAAACGTTGGTATTGGTTTGTTGTTCACGGAGGTATGGTAAAGGTAATCTGGTTCTTCAAGGAGGTACGGTAATGGTTATCTGGTAATAGGTATGAGGCGTGCTGGTTATGCCATAGAATGTAGGTAGGTATGTATGTATGCCGCTATAGGTTAACTGATAATGCCATTTATATTTAATTGACAATTTGGGCCACCAAGTTTAAACTTAACAAAATAAATATTTAAACCATAAACAATTCTGTGTTATTAAATACATAGAACTTCGAATATTCTTGTTGTAACTTTGAATTAAGAATTTCGAAAAAAAAACTCAACGGTTCTTTAAATTGAATCTAGAATTACATACTGGTGACTACATTTTACAACATGAAAACTCTTTTTTCATCTATTAAATTAGAAAAGAGTCCGAAAAAAAAACAAATCAAGTTTATTATTCAACAAAATATATTTCTAAAACCAATCTAAAGTCTCCATTCCTTTGGAAAATAATTAAAGAGCATAACGGTTTCTGCTGTTCATAGCCTGTTAAACAATATTAGATGGAGCGTTCACCCCGACTGGTTTTGATAAGATTGGTTTATTGATAAATTGGTTCCTTCGCCTCGAACACCGACCCACAAAACTGGTTCAACTCACAGCTTGCTAGCTTTATTATTTTGTTATGTAGGAATTGAGGAATGCTTAGGTGTAGGCGGTGTACAATAGGGAGAGCTATTATTTTTTTTAAGGCATTCACCCCGGCTACATTATGCAGGATCTACGGCGATTTTAATCCACGTAATATGTCATTGCATTAAAATAAGTCGCGGAAACCGCCGCGGTTCTTGCTGCGAGTAGGAGGTTTTTTAGTCAGCTATGATTTTCCCCTAACAAAAGCCGAACCAAAATGTATCTGTAGGTTCGAGAAATGAGTCCATAAACGCACGGCCATTTTGAAAATAATAGAACTATAATTAATTGGGAATGTCGTAAAATAAAAGTAGGTCCTTTGCGAAGCTGAGACCGACCGCTCTAGTTACATTATTATGCTTACATATTTAACATATTATTATATGTACATAGTTTTAGCAAAGTTTATCAGCCCGCATATAACACATGTGGAAAAATGTGGTAGATAAAAAAGCAATGATTTAGTGCAGTTAACTATTTGTTGTCACGCTTGCATTTTTTTTTTAATTTACATGATACTTATCTACATAGTTGAGTTAAAAATTCTTTACGAAATAATAATGTTCTTTATTCTGCCTAGGTCTATGGAAAATTCTGAATGTTTTTTTAATGGTATAAGTCGGCAAACAAGCACACGGATTACCTGATGGTAAGCAATCAGCGCCGCCCATGGACACCCGCAACACCAAAGTAGTTACGAGTGCGTTGCCGGCCTTTTGGGGATAAGGGTTGCGGATGTAAGGATCGGGAAGGGATAGGGGGAGGGACGGGATTGGGCCTCCGGTAACCTCACCCACACGGCGAAACACAACACTGTGGGTTGTTTCACGCCGGTATTCTGTTCTGTGAGGCCGTGGTATCACTCCGGTCGAGCCAACTCATTCGTGCCGAAGCTTGGCTCTCCCACACTTAAATGTATGTATTTATTAAAATAAATCGTACCTAGTAGATATTTGTTAGTAATCACATACTTAGCTCTGTAACGCTTGGTCCTATTTTACCAAAAATATTTTATTGTAGATATTTCTTATAGTCTAGTGTATATAGGAGAGAATTAGGTGTATTACACGGTAAGGAAACATCGGGATCTAGCAACTCTAATATGCCGATGCCATAGCGGTTCATTAGCAAAACCATTGAGTTGGACACCCAAGCGGACGAAGGAGCGCGCAATTAGTGCGAAAATAAAAAAAATGTGCATTGAATTGTAATATGATAATATAATCATATATTTAGTGTAACTTTTTTAATATGAACACATACAAAATTTTATTTATTTATTTTACACTTCTTGCACAACGTACAATAGCGGACTTGACGCCTTAGGCGTTCTCTGCCAGTCTACCTTTGGGTGGTGGAGAAATAGGAGTGGTAGGTGCGTCTTTGTTGATAAAAACAAGGAAGAAAAAAAACACATGCTACAAAATTATTGCTCAAAATTTTATAAAGTCCTTTTGGTTTATATGTTGCCATAAGCTATCCAAAAATATACAACTTTAATAGGAACCTCGTTTGGAAGTTCTTCTTAGCCGTAATAGCAAGTGACTTAACCAGTATCTAATTATTTATATTCCTTTAATTTCATTTTCATTAAGTTCGTTAGATCAACAGTCTTTAGGGTAAAACTTGTAGAATTTAACCCCTGAAAAAATAAAATAAGAATTAACATCTGAAGAAACATTAAGGTACTTTATGACAAAAAAAAACAAAAAAAAAACAAACCTGTTGCATTGATTTGCACTTTGAAAACGTCATTAACACTCAATAATCGATATGGTTCTTCTCTGTACAATTCCTAGAAAGCAAAGAATATCTATATTATTATTTTCCTAAGAAAAAGGCGTTCCCTGAGGAACAGTAGGTATTTGTTTTTTATTTATCAAACCCTCTCCTTTCCTAAAAAAAAAGGGCGTTACTCAAGGAACACAATTGGGTTGAAGCAATCCCCTCATTTGCTAAGAAAAAGGCGTTTCCCAGGGTACAGAATTTGGTCTAAGCAAACCCTTCAGCAGTTCTTATCTTCCAAAGAAAGTCCAAGCGTGGAAATGGCAGGACCACTTCTAATCCTAAGAGCGCTTTATTCAGAAGTAAACTAATGATATGACGAATGATAAGACAAGTAAACACACCTCCACAATGTAGTCTTGAACAGGTAGTTCCATCTGTTCATGTGTGAACGAGCTTTCAACTGCATTAGAATGGAGATTGACAAACAACAGCACATAGGCATCACCTGCTATTTCTTTTTTATAGACCATCTGCAATGTGTAAATTGTATATTAATATCCTTACATTAGGTCTTCACTACAGAAGATTAGAAGAATCTTCTGTAGTGAAGATATATCAAATGTTAACCATTCCAGTTCATCTGTCTGTATGAACCGATAAATTCTCAAGCGTGCCTCTCCCACACTGCCACCTCAGGCTTTGGAATGGTTGAATGACCGCCTGGTAATAGCGAGCTATCATCAAATTCCAAAAAGGCAACGCACTTACGTTACTGCTTTGCTGAATGTTTACTTCGAGACGTACTCCATCCAAATAAAAATAAATTGACGAGTCCAATCTGACTTATCCCGTATTCGCAGTAGGGATTTCCACTTCAAAATATTTAGTACCTACCCAAATTAGCCAAAAACAAATAACTATACATCATATACCTGCTTCTTATCATCACTGATCGAAATCCGACGTCCTTGTTTGCCCAAAACATCCTGGTTTACTGAAATCGGATACTTGTCCAACAGAATCGCCCTGAACTCCGGCTTTATGGTAGATAGGTCAGTGCTCATGATGAGAGGAGCCGCCATGATACACCAGATAGCAAACTGCACTTTTGCTTGGTCTTCTGTCAGACCAGAGTTTCCGATTGCAAGCTAAAAAAGGAGGAATGGAAAAAGACTAAAAGTAGAACGGAGAAACTCACTACACAGTTTATTTTTTAAATAAATTGAAAGGCGGTAATCATATTTTAACAGTTAAACGAGGTGCCACGTCTTGTTTAAAGCTACAACAGGGGCTCTGGTTTATGTAGTTTAGTTTCAAGCTACACAACATTGATGCGTCTTGTGCAGAGTAACCTCATCAGGGACATAATTGGAATAAATAATATTTTGTTTGTGGCATTACCATGTCAGGGTCGTTGAAGTTGCCAGGACCTGCGAACTCGGCGAACTCGTCTTGGTGGTCCCCAAACCATAAAATGGTGCTCAGCAACGATTCCCAAGAGTTTTGAATATCCCTGTAGTTCCGCCAAATATTGCACGTTTTTGCTATTGCAGAGTAATTCGGCTGGAAGTGTTTGAATAATTATATTATAAACATTTTTAAGTGAGGCTCAGTACTGGGTCCTAGCACAAGTTTTTGACTACACGGTTGGCGTTGTGGCCGGGAGGGAGGGAGTGTCAGACACTTACTGACTAAAAACCCCCCTATTCCTTCTCCTGCTCTGGGCCGAGGTCGCGGTGCCTCATTGCGCTTACCCCGCAACCCCGGCTGAACATCAGCCTTATAGGGCCCCGTCTGTGGTGGTCCTTGAGGTGCGCGCGGAACGCTACGCGCCGTACGCTCGAGTTGCCTTGACTCGCCGTCCGCAGACCCGCGCTTACTGTTGCCGGAGATCGTCCCTTGATTCCCGAAGCCCGTAGTTTCGCCTGCTGCGACGGTTGGGGCGTGAGGATTGCTCCCTCACGCGGGCCGCCTTCTTTGCGAGCATAACTGCTTCACAAAAGGAGGAGACGGCTTCCTACTTCCTCTCGCTCCGCACCATAGCCTCGACTAAAACCGGGCGCGAGAGGTGGCCGCCGCCGATCACTTCCCTGAGGACGCGGCGGTGCTCAGCCCAGGCGTATCGCCACCGTATCCTCTAGGCGGTCCTCACAATGACGACACTCGGGGGTTTTCCTCCCGCTGGATACGAAACAGGAACCTACCGAAGCTGCCATGCCCGGTAAGCACCTGCGTCAGGCGGAAGGTGAGAACGCCGTGGCGTCTCTCAAGCCACTCCTTAAAGAAGGGTCTTACCGCTGCTACAATAGGGTGCCCGGCTTGATATTGCTTGTTTGTAACCGCAATAAAAAAAAGGTTATGGATGAAGACAGGATCTTAGTTAATTTATTCACTCATTATCTCAAGTGTGTTTCCATATACTTACTACAAAGCACTAAAAGGTCAGGGTTAGTTGAAGTACTGCAAATTTGTTTTATTTGTTACAGAAAATATTGCGTTTGTATTGGCCTTGAGTGAGCGAGAGGGGGTGTCACGAACTCTTGGTGAGTAAGATCCGTTAGATAATCGAGGCATCAGATAGAAGTTTAGAATATATCTTATGCTATATCTATACTCCGATTATATCTATCTAATTTTTGATTTTCATACTTACGTACTTAATATTAACCTGCTAATACTACTTATATAACTTAAAATATATAATACTAATATATACTAATATATTAATTTGCGTCCATCGCATTTATTATCAATTTTATTATTATTGTAAACTTAACTTAATAGAACCTATAGTAAGTCCTATTGACTTAATAGAACCTATAGTAAGTCCTATTGACTTACTATAGGTTCTATTAAGTTAGTTTTTGAAATCTGATCCAACAGACAAACTGTGTATAAAGTTTTGTTGGACATTTTTTACTTTTTATAATGTAAAATGTACCTTTTAAGCAATAATAAATAAATAATATGGCGTACAACAAAATCCTAAAATATATTTGATTGTGTAACTAAATAAACCACTTACTTGGCTTTGATAAGCGGGCCAGCTACAGGAATACAACATGGGTCGTCCGGTCTCATTGAGAAGTTTTCCGAACATTGGATAACCTAAAAAGGCATTCTTACATCAACATTGATCGTTGATATTGAAAAAGCTAATAGCAACTATGTTTTATTTTGATACCATTATTTTGGTTAAACTAACCAGTCAGGTTACGCTAATGTACCAAAATACTGGTACTAAATAATCTTCAAAAAGTCTAAACCTTTATCAGGATCGGGAGCACCACACCCATCCAGCTTCACGTAATCCACCTCCCATTCGGCGAATGTAGCAGCATCTAGAGCTTCATGGCCTAGGACACCAGGGTAGCCCTCACAAGTGTAATTACCATAATCTTCATAAATGCCAAACTTTAAACCCATACTATGGAGCTGAAAACGTAACACCAAGACAAATAAATTCAAGTGTAGGAGAGTCACGCTTCAGTGCATATGGGCTGGCTCGACCGAAGTAATACCACGGCCTCATAGGAAACTGGCATTAAACCACCACAATATTGTATTTCGACGAACGAGTGATAGAGTTCCGGAGCCCCAACCTCTACTACCTTAACTTACAACCTGCTCCAAGTCTATGTATAAAAAGTCATAAATAAATCAATTCAACCATATGTAAAAACACGTACATACTGAGAAAGAGCCTTAATCCCACTGGGAAAACGTTTCTTATCAGCTACCAGTCGTCCATCAGGTCCACGCTTCTTCTCTAGCCAGCAGTCGTCAATGATCACATATTCGTAGCCTGCCTCCACGTAACCCTCGCCGCCCATCACTCTAGCTGTTCTCTTTATCAGGTTCTCACTGGGGAGTCGTATAATTCTACGTTAAATATCAATGTAGACAGTCCTTGACAGCTAATCCATATACATATACATACTAAATTTATAATGCACTAGCGGGGCCTTCCCGAAACCTCCCACATATCAAATTTCAGCGAAATCGCTAGGGCCGTTTCCGAGACCACATGCTTTTTCAAGCAATCAGCGCTATCTGACTAGATTATTTGTGAAACTAAACCATCCAGAGCGCTACACAAACGCATACAGAAAAAATATTTAAATCGGTCAAGCCGTTTAGGAGGAGTTCAATGACAATACACACGTACTTAATTTTTTTTTAAACTTGTTATGAGGTTATTTCTCTAAAACGATAAGAGCCTTCAATGTTTTGACCCATCATCATCATCGAATAGTCTGACACTTCATTTATTAGTTAGAAACTTACCTGATACATTCATTCGGATGTTTCTCACAATCGGTGTTGCAGCCGAACCGCAGCCATGACAACCAGCCCATTGGAGGCGTCAATGCTAGCCCGTTGTCCAACGGGTGGCTTGAATGTATCAAGCCACAAATAAAAACGACCAGCACGATGATCATAATTATGGCAGCCTTTTGGAAATCTTTAAAATTTGCGCCAAAATTATTAATTTTGAAGTTATAAAACACCTAAACTGGACTTTAAGTATTTGAACTATTTTCTGGAGCACAAGGAGAATCGTAATAGGATAAACAAAAAGTTAATAAATAAAGATTTAAGTCATTATTCTGGTCTATGAGTTAAATAAAGATGAAGAAACAACAACAATGTTTTAAAGCGATTTTAAGAGGGAAAGGCGCTCTAGAAATTAGTTAAATTAGATATTACCTTTTACTAAAGAGAGCTGAGACAATAAGGGTAGCATAGCACACGCATAACTTTTTATACTGCATGTTGACCTCGAACTGAAAATTTTCGAATATTTTAGGTACTAAGTAGAAACAACGATAAAGTGGGAATGTTGTTACTGATTGATTTATTATATATATTTATAAATAAGCCATAATGTAAATTTTTTCATGTTGAAGGCAAAGTGAAGTGGAGTGTTGAAAGTGTTTGGATTCCATACCTGTGGAAATAAAGTCGTCATTAGGTATTTTTTAATTTGTGTCTGGCAAAAATGTTTTATGCTGGGGTGATAAAAGGTGAAAAACATCTTTGCCAATCGCGAGACGAAGCCAACTGTGCAGAGATCCTTCAAACAACTGTAATCTAAATGAAATGGGACACTTGGAGACACAATTCAAACAGCTCCCGGTTAGTGTGAACTATTGCGGATAATGGAGACAAGGGATAAAACTTTGGGTCTAGTTACTATGGACTGGTATGATGAGAATTTCGGAAAGACAATGGTGCCTGCCGAAAAAATGAAATTTATACACGTAAAAATGGCAGGCAAGCAACTCGCCAACTCGCCGACCTGGCCTCAAGAAATTGCTAGAAATAGCAACAGAGGAACAACGGAAATGTAAAGCTGAAGAGTAAAGAAACTGCCACCAGCTTTTACTCAGATCATCTGCATCTGCCTAAGCATCCTGCATCACTGTCTCACTCGCCGCTTGAGTAGAGCTTCCACCCTTTAAGCAGAATCACTATTCTCGCGACTTCACTCTGGACAGCCAATGAAGGCAAACCAGAGGCGGGAGACCTGTCCCTCGTCTTGTTCACTTCGGCCAACCAAAGAAATCAAACAGAAGATAAGGAACGGTGACTTCTCCCTGGACCATTCGCGATGGTGGTAACCCGCAGGATCAGGTGGTATGTTTATAAAAAGCCTATGTGTTAACCTACCAACATACCAAATGTCAAACAATTCGTTCCAAATGTTTTTGGAACGAAAAAAAGAAAAGCGTGAAAGAGTAAACGTGAAACATTCGTCCATACAACCTTACAAACTTTCACATTTATAATATTTTAGGATAGTGGGATATTAGTAGGATAGTATGATATCTCTGGAACATTGATTAAGTACATAAATTAGGTACCTACCTAACTAATACAAATCAAAAAAGTATGAATTACCAAAGATTTCAATATAAAAATTGCCTCTTTATTACAATATTTTTAATGAAAAATTATTTATGTTTTTGATAGTAAATGATAAATTATTTTAGACAATAAAAACTACACAAAATATCACAATGTAAAGGAAGCAAGAGATTTGAAGTGAGAGAGTGAATAGCAACGCCATCTAACACACAGCGCGTGAACTAAAAATGTCAATGCCTTGATCGATACACAAGCATTACACAAGTCAATGAACTCAATGACATAATAATTGTTTGTATTATGCAACTTGTTGAAGATTATTTAATTTAGACGTTTTCTACATTTACAAACTAATCTCAAATTATATTGGAAACATTAATCTGATTCTATTAGATTTAAAACAGTACATAAAAAAAATATTTGAATAACTTCTGCGCTGAAACGGAACGTATAAATCGTTGCATAACTTTGAAAGTGGAAAGGAACGTTGACCAAACGTAAACAAAATATTCCGAGAGTTGACGTTAATTTAAATATTTTTATAAAAACAAAATCTAATTGATAAGTGCAAGTTTTAACCTCGGTTCTGCGATAATGTGAGGATAATCGTTATCAAATGTTTGTGATAAATTGTTTCAATGCCAAACTGTTATATACTCGTTACGTAGACCGGGCAGGAAACACCGAAGGAAATGAATACAAGTTAGGAAGCCGATGACTAATACACAGTTTACTTTCAAAAACCATGGGTACGGCGTACAAAGAGCTCTTCAAACTATACGATATAATTCAAAATGGGACAGAAAGGTATGTACGAAGATATTATAACTTTTGTTATAGTGATTTTTGCGGTAATTAGAGCGTGAACACCTGCCGCTCGCAAAACCAGAATTCCAGAGCGCGTATTATTACTACACGGGCCTTTGTGTTATCAAACATCTGCCAGTCGTTTAAAAATCGAATACAATTTATCTTTGAAAATTTTCTGTTTTTGCAAATTACTGGATTGCTATAAATTGTTGACTTATTTTTAATTTTTGCTACCCCCCACAGCGATTGTGCAGTTTTTTTTCTTTTAAATACCCTTGTATTGCTTATTACATAATTTCAAAGTAATTCAATAATCCTTACTGCTTTTAATAAAGCAATAGAATTTTAAGAGAAATCTTATTAGAAAATGAACTCAAAAGATATACTTGCCTACATACATTTTTATTACATAATAATTGAAAAGTTTAAAAAATAATGTCACCATAATTACTTAATCCTTGGTAATTATTTACACAAAGCAGAACCTCATTATAATTACCATATATGATGCAACAAAAAAGTATTTGCTCTAAGAAAAAAAGAAAGATTTTTTTTATTTCAGTTTTATTTCACCATTAAAACATAAATTTCATGTTATGAGAATGAAAAGATATAAATTTTGTAATCCAGTAACAATTAACAATAAACTCATGTCAAGTATTATAATTCCAGGTCCCTAGAAAGTTTTTTAAAAGACACACCAATACAAATAAACCAGATAATACCATGCAAAGGTATTGGCCTCCTACATTTAGCTGTGGGCATAGAGCCAGAGGAAAAGTCTAAGAAATGTACAGAGTTACTACTGAAACATGGAGGAGATCCGAATTTATGGTAAATATTTTTTTTACATGACCATATGTAAAAAAAAGACGGGAAAAGCACACACATTAACACAGCATTACAAAGATATTCTTTTGAACAGATATTCTTATAAGTATCATATAAAACCCCGTTTAATAGGATCAATGGAAAATATTGTAATTCAGTTCTAAATAAAATTATGATACCTAATCATCATCATCAGCCTATAAGTGCCCACTGCTGAGCAAAGGCCTCTTCTCATACAGAGAAGGTTTTGAGCATTAATCACCATGCTTGCTTAATGCGGGTTGGCAATTTCAAACTTATAATTAGAAATCATAAGTCCAGGTTTCCTCATACAAAAGGTCCAATAGGAAAAAAGGATGCATGCACAAAAATGTTTTCATATTTTTTTATGAAATAAAACATTCTAATTTCAAAATTCAAAAAAGTTGTAGGTAATTGTTACACCAGTACTAAGACAGTATTTGTCTAGCAATATTGAACTAAGCTCAGTATTAAATTCCTTAATCCTTTCTAATCGTCAACAAGGCCATTGGTTTGGCTAGCAAAAAGATGACCTTTCAAATTGTATTTTGAGTGTTCCTGTATTGTGGGCGAAGTTTCAACATAAACATATACTATGACATCACGCCTATTATCCAATAAAAGCGTAGGCAGAGGCACATAGCATACCTAGATTGATTTTTCTCTAGCATTTTTTTATGTTGCCCGACACTAGTAGGTACTTTCTCCTTCCTCACCTTGTCAGAGTCACAGAACAAAGTTTGATTTTTGCTCAAAGAGTTGTTCTGTGTGGGATTCGAACCGGCGTAGCAATAACGTTGCACAGCCAGCCTGCTGTGTCACTGCGCCAACCATGCAATTAGCTTAGAATTGGAAAACACAAAAGTAGTGTACCCTGCTTAGAAAACCCAGATCACATAATATTCCTTAATATGTAATCAGGAAAAAATATTATAATATTAATATAGGCAAATAAAACTAGTTGTTCTGTAACTTATTTTTTGCATTTATATTTTACAATTTCTCTGCTCCCAAACCTAGAAATTTCACCTAAGCTCAGGAAGAGATTGCTTGTATGAAAACACCTTTATAGTTTTATATGACATAATATGTATCTTTATTTTGTATGAAATGTGTAGGTACAAAAAAAAGGTTGGCAATTAAGAACATCTCATTCAATTCTATTATATATTCCAGCAATGACGATGGAGTAACACCAGTCCACATAGCAGCGATATGGGGTCGTGTGGAGAATCTGAAACTGCTGATAGGGTGCGGCGGGGACCCTGGTCAACGGGACCTGGACGGCCACTCTGCCTTCGACTACGCGACTAGAGAGGAACAGTGGGAGGTGTTTGACTACCTACACAATGTTGTAGACTTGACAGACGACAGTCCTGGCCATAAGTGTGCTTACACATTGGATCTGGGTAAGTTTTCTGGAAAAAATATATATTAGTAGTAGCCCGCCTCTGTTTCCCTCGGCTGTCCAACTGTCCAGCTAACAAAGAAACCATGTTCTTTACTAAAATTTTACCCCTTTACATTTCTGTAATTTTCTTTTATAAAAACTTTCAAAAATGGCAAATATGCGCTTACCAGCACATTCTGCGATTCCCTTTAATATAATAATTCATAGTATAAAAAAAAAATTTACAAAATAAAAAAACCGCCTTCAAAAAAAGTCAAGCAATAAAAGTTCCTACACTAAAAAGTAAAAAATAACAATTTGAATTACTGTAAAAAAACTTAATTTATAGGTAAACTTATTTGACATTAATATTTTGCAAATATTCAAAATTTATTACTTATTTTTGGAGTCGGTGCCAGCATTTTAATGTTGAAACTTAATGTTAGTTAGCTTTTTAATATCCGGTGCCATTTTTCGTAAATAATGCTTAAACATTTTCAATGTACTTAAAATGTTTTTGTAAGTATATATTTTTTATTTAAAAAAAATGTGTAAATCGGACATTTTTTGTAGAGAAGTCTAATCTGTATTTATGTCTTAATTAATATACCTATATTTTAGTATGCAAATAGGTATTAAGTAGTTTTATAATTAAGTAAGAGGTAGTTTTTCAAGGGATTGTTGCCCATTTGTATTTCCTTGCATGGGCTGGCACCGACTCCAAAAATAAGTAATAAATTTTGAATATTTGCAAAATATTAATGTCAAATAAGTTTACCTATAAATTAAGTTTTTTTACAGTAATTCAAATTGTTATTTTTTACTTTTTAGTGTAGGAACTTTTATTGCTTGACTTTTTTTGAAGGCGGTTTTTTTATTTTGTAAATTTTTTTTTTATTTGTAGCCGTTTAGTGTTTTTTTTATTATAATGTGTTATGGCAAAGAAGTCAATATCGTTCCTACATTTCTTTTGAAAAAGTTACCAATGTCATACTTATACGTAGAAATACATATCATAGTACATTGTTACTGTGTAATCATTTTGATCTCGAGGAGAGATGATATGATGCATGAGATACTTATGACTTATAGTTAAAATAAAATAATAATCTTATCATAAATTCATATAAGTTCTCGCCAAATAACAAAAAACTAGATATTTTCATCAACAGACAGATAAAGTTCAAAGATACCAAATGCAATCTAATTTAGTATCTATGATTAAATACATTCGTACATAGAAAAAAGACCGATGCAATTATTGTTTTGTATCAATTGTAACCCATTAAATGAATAATACTTTTTTTTTTTATGTAATAGCTCGGCAAACGAGCAGACGGATTACCTGATGGTAAGCAATCAGCGCCGCCCATGGACACTCGCAACGGAGGAGTTACCAGTGCGTTGCCGACCTTTTAGGGATAAGGATTTGGAGATTTAGGGATTGAGGTGGGATTGGGAAAGGAGAAGGATTGGGCCTCCGGTAACCTCACTCACACGGCGAAACACAACGCAGAGGTTATTTCACGCCGGTTTTCTGTGAGGCCGTGGTATCACTCCGGTCGAGCCGACCCATTCGTGCCGAAGCATGGCTCTCCCACACTTAATACCTCTCCCACACTTAATAACTATTTTGTTATTACTAAGAACATTCATATATAGACAAGTTGGTAAAAATACAAAAGACCATCGCTATTGTAAATATACATTTATGACTCATTCAATGTATGAACCTTTTTTAAGTAAGTATTATCTACATATGTGCACACAAAAGAAATACAATTATTGTTTTGTACGACGCAATTATTGTTTTGTAACCCATTTAAAACGACTGTTTTGTTAAAAATGCCAATGAATTCTCTTAGCCTATTTCCAGGAAAACGATAAGAACACAATGACGCATTTCACCACTAATGTGTAAACGCAGTCCACGTGGACTAATGCAAAATAGCCAATACTAGGCCAAACTCCGCCCCCAAAGGTGTGCGGTCCCGCTCTAGAACCTTTCGGCCCCATCGGCCATCTGTTCTACGAGCAATGTCCCGTGCCCACTGTCACTTAAGTTTGGCATTTCTTCGGGCTATGTCGGTGACGCTGGTTCTTCTGCGGATTTCTTCATTTCTGATTCGAACATGCACGGAAACTATGAGCATAGCCCTTTCCATTGCTCTTGACAGCTCTAATAAGCTTACACAATACTAGGCCCCATGCCAACCTTCCAGCTTCATCATCACATCAGTTCAATAGTACCTTACTGCCAAAGTGCATCTTATAACAATTCTAACAAGCCCAAACACGGCTAGGATATATTAATTAGGTACGCAGTTCCAGTGCCTACCTTCCAGCTCCATAATCATCATTAAATCAGTTCGATGATAACATTTCCAACATAATTATTTAAGATCATTGGTTTACAGTGCATTTTCATAGTTGCTGAACTACCTTGATTGTGATATCTATGCGAGTGTCAAGTTTCATCACCCATTTCTGATCTTCTTCACCAGTTCCACCTCATCAAATATTACTTTTTGACTGTAAATGCTTGAGTGCTCTATGAAAATATTAAAATTACTATATAGTTGCCTATAATATTTGAGGAGTTCCCTCGATTTCTCATGGATCCCATCATCAAAACTCGATTTTGAAAAGAATGGGACCAATCTGGAAGCATATCCTTTCAATCATAAAAAAAATTTTGCAAATCCGTCCATAAACGACGGAGTTCTGAGGTAACAAACATAAAAAAAAAAAATAAAAAAAAAAAAAAAAAAAAAAAAATACAATCGAATTGAGAACCTCCTCCTTTTTTTGAAGTCGGTTAATAAAACAAAGTAGCTATATATGCCTTGTATGCTTAAATCTTCGAAACTGCGCAACGAATTTTGATGCGGTTTTTTTTAACAGATATAGTGACTGAAGAGAAATATTTATACGTATCATTGAATAGTGATGTAATTTAATAGAAGCACTTTTTTATTGTAAATGAAAAGTTGCCCTGCTCTAGAATTTGTATTGTAACTGTGCGAAGCGGGGCAGGTCGCTAGTATAATAGATTACTTAATCAGCCAGGCAGTTGAGACAACTGACTATAGTATGTCTATATCGTATTTTTTAATAGAAATTTATGTCTGGCTTTACTTTGCTTGCACTTGACCAACGGAAGTACTTGAAATAAGTGCCTACCAACTTAATATTGTTTATATTTGCAGAGAGAGTATTACTGACAACAGACCAAGTAGTCGCTGAATACGGCCCCATTGTCGACGAAAACCCACAAGAAAATGTTCCCGCTGTCAGAAAATCAGAACTTATCAACGAATGGTGTGAAAGAAACTCTTTAGCTATAAACAAACTATATCCTACTATTATAAGTGAGACATATCTTATAGATAATGAATCAGCCCCATGGAAAAGTACCTATTTAAATTTCTCTGATAATGTTACACTTGATCTCACTAAAGATAGGATCTCAGATACGAACACAAGCTTTAAATCCTGCATCTCAAATAAATTATCAGATGTTATAAGTGGTGTGCATAGACTAGACATGACTTCAGACGAAACTAGACAGTCTAGTGAAGCAAGCTCAAATGTAATGAACCAGCGGATCAGTGTGTATGAAAACTTTTCCCTGCCCGGCTCTCCAAACAACATTACACATAAGAACTACAACACAAAGACGAGTTTGAAGAAACAAAGAAATAGGAATCTTAATACGAATACAAGTAGTTTGATCTCAAATGACTGCTCTCAAGAATTGGATAATGTTCTGGCTGTGGTGCAGAACAAGACGAATGAGTGGCTTTGTACCAGTAAGGGTGATGTGGTTGGGAATACCAGGAGGTCATCAGCCAGTAGCGGTGTCAGCACCTACTCGGGCGGGAGTATCGTGCTCGCCAACGTGCAGGAGGAATATAAATACGAGGACAAAGAGGAAGATGTTGTGCTCATTGAGAAGAGGCTACTAATCTCACCCGTCATGTAAGTACATTATACATTCTTAACAAGAAAGTTTCTTAAGCATTCCCTTTTATTTAAGACACAACATTTAGTAATCCACTTCTTAAATACGGAAAAATGTAGTTAATAAGAATATATAAATAACTAGCTACTCTCGCACTGTTTGACCCGCTGCTCTGCTCCTACAGATCGTAGTGTGATGTTTTATAGTCTATACTCTTCCTCGATAAATCGAATAACAAACAAACAAAGAGTTGTTCATTTTGCACCAGTAGTTTCGGAGATTAGCGCGTTCAAACATAACAACTCTTCAGCTTTATAATTTAATATTAGGTATATATCATAGATAAAAGTCTACTCCACATCATAGTTACATTTTAAGTACCTACACTTCAATATCTTCAGATATTATCGGCAATTATTTATCAGATATCTTTCGTATCCTACAGTCTAACAGGACATATTCTGATAAAATATATTCTAAGTAATATTTGCAATCATGTTCTGTTTTTCCAGACTTCCATTGGATGAAGGTTCAGAGCCCGTTACTCCGGACCATACCATCGTATCCGTGGCCTCGTCCCTCCCAGCTTCCGTTCAATATGACGATAACACGCTCAGAGCAGAGCTACTTCGCTTAGGCTTCACACCAGGACCTATACAAGACACCACGAGAAATTTATACCTCAAAAAGCTGCAGGCCCTGAAGAAAACCCCTCGGGATGATCTGGAGGGACTCTGTGACAACTTACAAGGACTCAGTGTTAATAATAATGCGCAAAAGAAATGTGAGTATGCTTTTTTATTCCCTTTTTGTTAGCTAAATCTCGTAATTTTTATACTAAGCTTGATTAAACAGTTATGATAGACACCTTATTGATTTAGGTGTTGTATTCTTTAAAATATCATCATTCATCCTGACAAAAGACTATATAAGTTGATGACAAGATAAATTGATCAAGACTTCCCCTATATTTATGAGTTAAGTCTTTGGATTTAAACTATTACCACCACGGAATAGAAATACCACAGTTTACTAATTAGGTACTATAAACAAGATAGAGATTAATGCAACAAAACTTTATAACACATACCTTCTTTCTAATCAAAGGATTATAATTAAATTAAATTACAATGTCATGTCATTATTAATAGTAGTATTGTATTTTTTATAATTTACATCTTTCATATAAATTTTTACACAATTCTTTAATATTTAGCACGATGGTAATGTTAAAATTTCCAAGTAGAGAAGCAGTAAAGTTATTTTTTAACAGAGGTTGTGTATTTTTCGTTGTTTTTATTATTACAACTTTGTCTATTGGTTTGGTTACTCTTGCATTGGCTATGCACTTGCATTTGAAGATTAAACATGTATTTTTTAAGAATGATATCTCAAATTCTTCATCATCAAACTACTATAAGTCAGGCTTTTAAAGAAATAAGGGGAATATCTATTGTTTGAACCACTCTTTGACTAGTTCCTTATGGAAACTGAAGTCGTATCACATGTACTAGAGAACCTGGCGAAATTTCGTACCCCCTTAAAATCATAAATATTTTAATCTTTGCTGCACCTTTACTAAGTTATAAAGACCAATATAGATACTAGCCAAATCGCAATAGCATTTCTCGAGTTTTACCAAGATTAATGAATAGCAATTCATTTATTTACTAGTATGATGAAAGTGATTCAATTTGGTTAAAATCCATTTTATGACATATAAAACTTAACCCGTTTTTGAAGTCGAGGCAGCTTTTCTTTTACAATTTTCAACATTAATAAACAATTTTATTACATGACCTAAAGACACTAGGTAGTAGAAAATAAGTTATTTATACAACACAATTATATTTCAGCATACAGCATAGAAATATCAAAATCTTTACGCAATGCCGAATGGATGAAGGATCTCTCAGCGTACGTGGAGTTAGAAAACAAGGCTCGAAATGACTTCAGTGATTCAAACAAGAAATGGCGCGAAGGAACAGCTAAAACATCGTTCACATACTTACTCCTCGACCCTCGACTGACTGACAATCTACCTGCGAAGTCGAGCAAACAGGATAAACATACGTCCTGGGTCACTTTTATTAACTCCATATTCTATGTAGGAAAAGGTAATTATTATATTTTAGATACTGGCTTGAAAACTTCCTCATATATGCATCAAATGCTGGTCTCTTTAGGAGTTTGTAGCAAACAGACAAACAGAAAAGAAAAACAGGAAATTTTGTTTATTGTGATTCAAGGATAAAATATTGTTGTTCTTAGTTTTTAAACTTTAAATAACATATTTTGTCATAAATATTTTTTTATTATGTTACTGATAATTTACTACCTACCTAATCATACTTATAGTGTAGTTTTCCTCAGAGAAACTCGTGAATTTCGTATCTTTCAATGTTCATATAGAAATTATAATTAAAATTTGTCTTCTCTTTCAGGTAAACGTTCCAGACCATACTCTCATTTATACCAAGCACTAACACTTTGGAAGAAAGATTTTAAAACATCCAAAGATAAGAAGGTCCAACACATACTAGACATCTGGTCGGACAAAGTAGGGGTTGTGTGTTTACATATATTTCAAAATGTGATTCCGGCAGAGGCGTACACGTATGAAGCAGCGATGATAGATGCGCTGGGAGTGTCTAGTTTAAAGAATCTTAAAGTTGGTAATTACTATGGAGTGGCGGCTTCGTGGCCGATGAAGGAACGACGTATGTTGGGACATTATTTGCTGTACAAAGCCATGCTTATCTTCCTCAGCGAAGGAGAAAGGCAATTAAGACCAGACGACCTAGACTGACACGTGGGTACATAGGTACTCTCTCTTTACATTGGTTGTGAAATTCTTGCGTAAAATTAAATGAATTCTAACGTTATTTATTTTCGATGTTAATATCTAAGTTGTTGTACGTAGTTATTGTACTGTAGTGTATAATTAAGCTTTAATGTTTTAGTATTTACCACAAATGAGTATTGTATTGTAACTCTTTTACAAAACAGACGCCAAAGAATTTTACACGAGACACGGAGCCAACTGTTCGCACGGAACATTAATATTTTGCCAATTTATTTTACTGTTTTAATGGACTATAATTTTTTAAATGTACTCTTGCGTACTGTGTGACTTAAGTAACACTTTTTAAATGAAATGAAACATATTTCTCAAAATACTCAGAGCTTTAATGTTTTTTGTGTATTGTTTTTTATAACGACTCGGACATCTTAGCTCCACCTTAATACCAACAGAACAACATTATAATAATAAAGAAACGATATAGTTAACTAAACAAATCAACTCTGACATGTTTATGGGCTCACTATTATTATTATAAAGCATTTCGCATAATTTTAGTTTAACATTAGCAAACAGTATTCTGTATAATTTATTCGACATTATAAGTAGCTTTAAATTATTTATAACTTGTTCATTATTTAAGTTACCACTGCACTTTAAATATTTCGCACTGATGTCTAAATAATCTAAGTTGAATTGTATTGCCTAGTAGTACCTGTATAGATAAGCGAAATGTACGTATAATTTAGGTGTAAACTGTTGTTCCTAGTCATTAATACAATACAGTAACGTAAGCATAATGTGTAATCATGACAATATACTATAACATTAATTTTACTGACGTGTTACGTTCTAAGCAGGAAATAAAACACATTTTTTAAGAAATAATTTATCTTTATTATTCCTTTTTTAACGTCTCGAATTCTTTTCTAAGTAAAATCAAACTTGGCTTTAGTTACATCAAAAAAAAAATACACAAATGTTCATTTATATAATATATATTGATACATTATAAATACAATGATCAAGTTTTGCACCAAGTCGCGATTGGTACATGGATGAAAGCGTAATTTAAGTCCGTGGTCAAACGGGGTTACAAACAAAAGATCGATCAGTCTATGCGTCCGTGGACAATGTACCGAGCGCTTGTTTGAGATCTCATGGGCCCGGGCAGCACGCGCGGTCTCACTACTCATGCTATGCACTCTAGCGTGGCCCGCGCTCAATCGTCACTTGCCCGCGTTATTTACTATTTAAATCCTATATGTGATCATCACATGGTACCACATACTGCCACAAAGCCCCTAACTTCCACACTTAGGCGGTGATAAAGTGCAAGCGCCCTTAACAGAACTGAATGTCTGGTCAACAGGACGCCATTGTTTGTCACCGCTGTTATTCCAAAATAGCCTTTAATCACAGCTAAGTATCACGATACAGTCACCGTGTCAGTGCTTGCAAGCAGGCCAACACTTCAGACCATCAGTGCTCGCTTACAGATTTACATAGCCTTTACATTGTCATATAATCGAACCATCGCCCAATTTACAAGAAATAATTGCTTTAAAAATCTTTGTGACTACTTTACTGAAAATATATTTTTTATATCAAATCGTTTCTTAGAAATATCTGCAAATAGTAAAGAAGTATTCTTAGGATATTCTTATTATCTTTTTTTAACTCAATCACTAATAAATTATTTTTGCTTTCTGCCAATAATGATAAATATAGGTATCAATTAATGTTGCAACAACGCAATCACCCTTTCTAGGTCTTGTTTCGATTTATGCAATCAAATTACAAACAGTTACGTAGACATTTGCTTTGAAGCAGTATTTAATAACAAGATAAGATCAAGTCACTGGTTTCCTGAAATTCCTTGTCGCAGACTTATTCACTTATACCACATAAACTTAGGTTAGGCCCCGCATTTTTACAAAATATTGTTTTGTTAATTTAACATGAAACAGGTACGCGCGTACATTGACTAAAATGTCATGAAAATAATACCATATCACTACAAATATTTTATGTAATTCTCTAAAACATTGTGTTTATAAATGTTTCCTCTACTCAAGTTGAAATGCAACCGACCTGTGGTCTCCCTCAGTCGAGTCTCTCACAAAGCAAACAACGACATCTCAGTTTATATAAATTACAAAATAGATGCATCAACACAATCGAGGTATTCCCACGTTAACCAATTGGAAGACTACAAAACGATAGATTATATTCCCTGAGACAATCTACTAGGAAGTCAATGGTACTTTAAATGCTTGGAAATAATATAGTCGTCGGACACAGGAGATGCAGCTCTTAACTAACGTGCAGTACGGAAACCCTAATCCCTTGTATTCACAAATATCGGACTATGACATTTTATAGTTATGATTAAAAGCCTGACATACATACACGCACATCGATGTTGAAACACTCGACGAATCTAGAGGATGCTCTACTAATTACATAATCGTAAGTCATTCACTATATCGAGACAGAGTACGATTTGTGCACGCTACGACTCATATTGTAATGATCACATTGACGCCTTAAACTTACGCTAGATTACTTAAACTTAACTAACATTATACTTTAAACCTAGATACACTCGCTTTCGTTTTGTGGAATGCAGATATCATAAATAAAGATCTTACTAGGCTGTATTCGCAATGATATAAATTTAGACACGGGGGCTTCAAACATCAGTACAATGCCCAGAGGGAGAATCGGATAATTCGATGTTTATATTACATAACCCTTATGGAACACTAACAACCGTAGGGTACTTTACACATAACACTAATATGTACAGAACTAGTTTGTGCTTCCACTAGTAACATATACACAGGGGCGCGGCGCCAGGTCCTCGCGCCGCGCGCCACACAACATCCATCGAGGAGTCTTCAACACAACACTCTCAACTATAAAGGTAACTATCGGTCCGGACACATTCTATAACATTCAAAGCGCACATCACATACACAATTTGTGGGTTACGCGAGATCACAGTGTTTAAATTATGGCTACTGGCATAGAGATATAGTTTTTTTTTATCCAAGTTCGAACGTCACGAAGTCACAGTCAGTCCGCGCGGTTTCGCGAGCCCCGGGGCGCGGGCGCGTGCGCGGGGGCGCGCTGTCTCAGGTCGCTAGACGCGAGGGCGCGGCGGGCCTCACTTGGGCGGCGTCGGGAACGAGTTGACTACGGCCTGCGTGCTGGCCAGCACGGCCGCCGCTGCAAAACACAATCTTCCATTACTGTCTCTGTACCGAGTACCGGCCTCGACTAGCGTCCCTCTACTCAAGCTAGCTACACGGGTCGGGCGGGGCTCGCCCGCTCGTCCGTCGTGTGCTATCGGGCCCCTGCAACCAAGCACATCACATCGTTAGGCCCGAGGCGTGTAGAGTGGACGTAATCGAAAAACGGATTGGACAATCATTGAATAAACAGGCAAGGGGTATTTTTGAGTGTAATAAATATCAAGTGAGAAGGGGAAAAGTATGCGGTTAAAAAGAGATAGTGAGTTGGTAAAATGATGTTAAGTATTATCAGCTGACTAAGCGTGAGTTAGAAAGTAGCAGTATAGTACTGACCAGGGTAGGGCGGCGGGTAGAGCGGGTACCCGAGCCCCACGTGCGTGTGGTGGTGCGTGTGCACGTGGCGCTGCGGCGGCGGGGAGCGCGGCGAGCGCGGGGACGGCGCCGGCTCCTTGGGCGCGTCCGCGCGGGGCTTGCTCGCCGGGGACTTGGCGTGCTCCTGCAACGATACATACCGACACTTATCACTACCGGCCCACTACATGCCCAACATTTATACAAAAACGCAAATAAAACATCAACTCACTTGTAATTCATGTATTTTGTGTGGAGCACCACCATACGCGAAGTTGGGGCCGTGTCCACTACCAGGACCGCCAACTCCTGGCATGATGTCCAGTTTCCCAGCTCCGCCTGGCCTGGACAGGTCCTCTGGGGCGTGGTATCGTGGTACGGTCCACCCACCTCCGAACCCTCCTACCAGCATTGGGCTCAGAGGTGCTCGGTAGACTGGGTCGAAAGGAAGAGCGCCGTAATGCGGGGGCTGCATGTACGGCGGGAGGTAGTACTGCGAGGTAGGCGGGGGCGGGGGACCCTGAGTCTCTGTCGTCGGCTTCTGCCCTTCTTGTTTCACCTGCAGACAATGGCAGTGGGCTTCGTAAATAAATGAAGACATTGGGAACTACGGAGTAACGGTTATTGCGGCGACGGGTGCTTGGTGTAGGCAACTGAGCGCGTCATGATCACAATAAACGAAACTGTCCTCGTAGTGGCGCAATGTAAACAATCTGGTCTATCTAACCTTAGGGTATCGGTCTCTGCCATAGGCTGGGTAGTGCAGCTCAGCCGGCAGTGGCTCCGTCTAAAATGAGGTTATGTTAACAACAAGCTGACTAACAACTTCGTTGGGAAAAGACTATCCTGTCATATCGAAGTCGCGACACGGCTGCCAGGTACTTCACATAATTTGGATATATTATTACATTTAGCACGCTTTGCGGCTGGCAATTTTAAAATTCCAATGTATTACCTTGACCTCCTCCTTAGGCTTATCGTCCTTGTCTTTGGGAGGTTGTTTGTGTGCGGGCTGCGGCGGGGGCCGGCCCCCTTGCCCGCCCGGGGCTCCACTGGCCCCCGCCGCCAGCCCGGGGGGCTTCGGATCATTGCCTCCCTCTTTTCTTCTCTGATCTAAGCTCATGTAATACCTGGAAAAGTGATAAATGGTTAGTTTTCTATCGTGGCATAGCAAAGTAGGAATGAACTGCATTTGTATCAATACAAACCTTCTTAATTCCTCTTCTCTCGCATGTGGTGGTCTCTGGAAGGCGTAGGGTCCCATCTGTGCCTTCATCTCGATGCTCTCCTTGAGTATTTGATGGTTATCGTTCGGCCGCGCGGGGTTCTCCTTGCCGTCGGGCGGGCGTTGTTGCTTGTTCTTGTCTAGTGGACTCGGGGTTGTCTTCGAGCGGTCGCTGTCTTTACTCTTGTCGTCTAAGGGCGGCCCCGGAGGTGGCCCACCAGGTTCCACGTTGTAAGGAAAATTGGGAACATAGTTGTAAGGGTAGAAGTGTTGCGGTAACACTTTTTGAGGTCCGTTGTCTGGTTTACCGTCCTGGAAATTATTAAGTTTTCGTTTAGGATTATTTTTTTCTTAGTCTTTCTAATAAAAATCAGTTACTAAGGTCAGTTTTTTTTCAAAAAACATTGGAAATAGTAACAAAATTTTCACAAAATGAATACCTTCAGATATATGGACTACAATGCATAAATTAGTAATGATTTACAAGAACATATTAGCGGAGTCACTGCTATAAACTTTTGACAAATACGGTATCGCTAGCCCGCCAACTCTCATAACAAGAGGTAGGTACTTACTTTCATGTCACCCTTGGGGTCTCCTTTAGAGAGATCATCCTTGCCTTTGTCCGAGGACTGAGGAGGCACGGGAGGAGGGTGCGAGGGCGGCATGTACGACGGCTGCCCATAGAACTGAAATAATTTAGTTCACGCGTCAGTTGATTCACATTCTAAAAGAGATTTAACACTCCAATAAATTTTCTTATATTGTGTGTTATTTTATATTGACCACGCTCATTAAATTATCTTACTAATATAATAAATGCGAAAGTTTTGGATATTCGGATGTTTGTTACTCAATCAGGCCAAAACGGCTGGACGGATTTGAATGAAATTTAGCTCAGGTATACACAGCTGAAGCTAGTTTATTCATATTTGTGTACCTGATGGTATACTGGGAAGGGTCTGTGCGCTGGGTCATCCGGCGGGGCGTCGGCCGGCGCGGCGTCGTCCGATATGTCGGAGTAGGCCGGCGACCGCACGCCCGGCGTCGGGGAGCGCCGCGCGCGTCTCTTGCCCGGGGACTCCTCTGCAGGGGACTCTGTCGACTTGCGCTCCTCCGCCATTAGCGCTGACCGGGGTTTCACCTAAACAAAACAAGTAACAATTTCATATACATACTGTTTATTTATCTAAGCTCATTAGAATAGTCGTTTTTTCTTTCATATACACACGTGTTTAAGGTGCTTCATAAACAAATGACACGCGAAGCTCTGAATTGTATGGAGGTAGGTATATAGATTATTGTGCTTACCTTAAACTGTGTGGGTTGCAGAGAGGGTAACGCATCAGGCGGCGTGGCTGGTGGCTGCGGAGGAGTCTGCGGCCGGTCCACGGCGGCGGCCGGCTCCGCGGCTGTTATGAACTCTTCCGCGAACCGTGGCTGCTGCGGCGACTCCGCGTCCACTTCAGCCTTCTCCGGGGACTTCTCCGGCGACTTGTCTACCTTGGCGTCAGGTGATTTGACCGGAGTCGGCGACTTGACAGGCGTAGCCGGCGTGGCTGGCGCCGATGGCGGCCGCGCCGGGGACGCTGGCTCAGTGGCCGGCTCCTCTTGCTCAGAGCTGGAGCCGTCCTTGTCATCGTCGTCTGGAGAGCCGTGGGCGTGGGACCGGTGGTACTTGAGTCCATTCGCGTGCTTGTACTTCTTTGAACAATTTGGCTCTGGACACTCAAGGAGGACGGGATCCGGTGGCGGGGAAGACGGTGTGGGAGGCGGACGTTTAGCCTTCGGCGTTGGAGGTCGCTCCTCAGCATCCGAGGTGCGTTTTCTTTTTGAGTCTGGTCTAGGAGGCGTGAAGGGTGTTGGTGAAGGCAGTGCCCTCCTACCCTTGGCGCCACCGTTCCGTAGTTTACTATGTACCGAGGACCTTGTCTCCGTAAAATTAGTCATGTCAGTCGGCGCTGCGCCGCGACCACGTTTTGCACGACCTTTGGGCGTCCGTGCGTCCAACTCCTCCGTTGGGGAGTCGCAAAACCTGTGGAGATGTAACATTATTAACATTTAACCTTACAGCGATGGAATTGGGGTTCATGTGGAAACCTATGAATATCAATGGCATCATTATTTAAGAAAATATATTCCTGTTGTTTCTCCGTTGAGGAATTTCTGCTCACGTTGCTGTGACTCATTTCAGACATACGTGACCGAGCACGTCCATTACAGTGTGTTTGGAAGAGTTTGGGCGCTGGTAGCGCGTTATTCCCGCGCCATTAGTATGCCCTGTTCGTGCGCATTAGAGTTAGAAGGCAGACTCGCATAAATACTAACCGCGGTGGCGCCCAGTCGTGTCGCGTGCAGTCCAGTAATGTACCTACGTAAGTCTTCCCTCGCCACGTCACATTCACGACGAGTACACCTGTAACAATATCACAGACCGATAAATATACGGCTTCTTGTATACGTGTTCTGTCGATCGTGTAATGGGATTAGTTTTAAACTGTGTAAGAAGATACGGCTTTAACGAAATTGGTGCAGTGAAGTTATCGGCGGCGACGGCAGCCTCGGATCCAATTTGTCACGCGGGAGCATTCATTTGCATATTGGGGATGCTGGAGACGCGGACGTGACTCCGCCGCATATTTAGCCGCGCCGCAGGCCGCGCCCCGCGCCCCTCACCTCACCTCGCCACTTTATCGCGCTGGCGTGCCAACTTATGCAAATTTAATTAATCAATTTCACCCCTCTATTCGCGACACTTTTTCGCCTTTAAAGGACATTCCGTTGTCACAATTTTATTACATAAACCAAAGGCTCATTGTGAATTTATAATATCACGTACCGCGTCCGCGTTTTAGGACCTTATTGTAATTCAGAGCGATTTAATCTTCTCTTTGTCCTCAAAATGTTTTTCGTAAACAAGAGTAACAAATTGAGATAAAAGTGAGAGCCCCGGACAATCCCTTTTTAATCCCTGGCGAGCTTTTTCGTTGACTCGATTTTATGTAGCGGTCTCGTTGAATTGTAAATGACTGGGTAGTGGGTACCTATGTATATCTTTTTAAACGGCTAAGTAATGAGATTTAGTTGGCGGTGCGCTGACATGTGCTCACAAACTTGTATTTATATTGTTCTATATCGTGAAATAGGGTCCATAACGCATATTTCTCGGCTGCCAACAACAATTTCGTAGCAGCGGAGTACCCGCGCAGCGCGCGTCTCGTAAGTTATGATCTCACATACTACTAACATTGTTTGCAGCATATTAATACGTTTTATAGCTTGGCCGCGCGCTGCACGAATTTATGATGTACGCTGAAGAAGTTTACATTACACTACTGACAGAGACACATAAACATACAAAACTACTGTAACATAGTAAACATGTTCTACTGACGATACATCCGCAGCTTTCAATATATTTGGGCAATGATTGACGCACGCACGCGAGTGTTATTCGCGTTTGTGGCAAATATTTTAATTTGTGAAGCGTGCAATACCATTGTTAGTAAATGACTGTGAAATCTGATTTATTGTGGCAGCGGCGATGCTCCCGCCAACTGTTTCAGGCTAAATGCGCCACTACCGGCCACACCGCCCAAACGCTATTGCGGCTAGCTTTACAGCGGCCATTTTTGTGTAGAATTACGTGATAACTAAATTGACCGCACATTTCGTCGTACGATTACGGCCGCGATCCGTCCGTTGGTCGCGCGAGCCGTTCGTAACAGTGCGTGTATTACGAGGCCCGAAATAGTTTATTGCCTCAATTAAATTTACCACACAAAAGAAAAATTGATCTTAGAGTAAGATTACGGTCCGGTAAGCCAAGTTTCGTACGAAATGGCTTCATTGAACTAGCTAAAGTAAACAATGGTTTTACAGCATTACGTACAAATTCGCTATTTGTATTCAAGTTTTATTATAATAAGAAACATTGCGTTAAATTTGAAAAACATTATCCCAGATAAATTGATAGCTTGTCTATAAAAATAAACTTGTTTCGTGGAATAATAAAATGTAAAACAGAAACAAGATAGATTGATAAGTTGTGTGTATAATGTAAGTCCTCCGTAGCTGTTACTTATTATTTATTGTTCCACAAAACAATGAACACATAAAGCATTTCTCTATAAGCCATTAGCATAAAATGGTGGAGTTATTGTAACCAGGAGACGTGCTCCGTGACTAATGAGACAATGGACGCGATGATTAGTTTATTATTGAACAACCGCTGTGCCACACTTTGTTGTCTACTGTTATTTATGTTTTAAATCTCGTGTTTGCTTTCTATTGTGTACGTGTAAATCATTTATAACGTTCGCACGCTACGTTACGCATATAAATTTCTCGGTAAAAAAACGAAAATATGTACCTATACATGAAGTACGAGCTCGTAGTTTCGCAGTGTGAATATAAAACCGCACGCCATAAAGTAAGAACAAATACGGAAACCATCGTACGAAGCCAACTAATAAAACGAATACCAGGCTGTCAGAAATATTTAAAAAGTAGCTCGGGCAGATGTTGCTCGCTACTTCCTAGAGGAAATCGTTGGGTGCGCGCCGCACTTTTATTATTTAGGGGTTGAAATCCCCTTGTAAATTGTGAACACGGCCGACCGGTCACGGAAAAGTTAAATTAGAGATCGTCGGTCCACTGTTTGCCTGCGTGTAATCGTTTCGATTTGTTGGAACGTCGCTAATGGCCCAACCGCGTGTTGCCTCTATGGCTCTACCCACCTACTTCTAACTTGTTACGCCGCTAACGACAGGGGGTTGACGAAACGTTGAAATACTTCCAACATCAATATTTTTGTCATACATACGCCAAAGTAGGTAACGATTTTAGGCATGCGATGACAATATCCTATCCATTTTTTATCTTTATAGGTTTGTTGTTTTTGTGAAAGTGATATGATTATCATTTTATTTGTTTCCTAAACTTCTATTACCTTCTTATAACAGAACATATAAAGTAGCTAACTTGCAATATGTCGGTCCTTCACAAACGCATCAGGCACTGCATAAATATCCTCAGTTTTCATAATAAGGCACAGTAAATCCGGGTATCGTCTGATAAAGTCGCTGATCATTTTACCAGGAAAGCAGTGAACTGTAATAGGTTCATTTAGATGGTGCTAATTACACCTCGGCCGCGGTAATCAACGGCCTAATAGTTGTCGTGCCCTCGCCCCCTCGCCGCCACGCTACCCCGGCCTGCCCGCTTTGTTCCCCGACACCCCACGCTAACTTGCTCGCTCACAAATCTCTACCTCCGTCAATATTTGTACAATTCGCACTCTACAAAGTTAATCTTAAACTTGGAGATTATACTTTACCCCGTTACTCCGGCACGCGATATTAAATATTGCGTGCCTTATGACCATGAATCACAAAAGAAACATACTTTTATTGTTTTGTTTTTTCACTTTTTAACTTCTTTTGAGTAAATAATCACACAATAATATAGTGCGAGATGTGAGGCGGCATGCGGCGCAGCACCGCGTTGGTCCGGCGCGGCAATCAGACCTACCCATTGTTTCCCACACCGAGACAAACAAAGTTCCAACGGTTTCATTTACATCCACTCAATGGTACCGACAAACAAACTAAACTTTACCTCTTAAAATGAAATGAAAACACCCCGTACCTACTTTGGAAAACGATGAACCCGTTCAACATGTTCCCAGACAAAAACTTGTGCCTTTAATTATTATGTGTCAGATACAAAATGCTCCATAATAAGCTGCATAAAAGAGACATAAACCGAACCTCGAAAACGAAGCATAAATATTAAAATACGTCCACTAATTAGTGGAATGGAATGCAACGCGGTGTGTACTGGGTAGCCTGCCTTAATTGTTAGCACGTACACGCCGTAGGTACACAGCGGCGCGCTGTACGCTGTGCGCTGTACGAGTCCGGCTCGTAAACCTGTCCCTGAGGACATTTTTTGAGCGTAGCCGAGTAGCAGATGCCGCTCGATACACTCTCCGGACTTTAAGACTTATGGAGAATTTATTCCGAGTGCCTGCGGTTAGAGCCGCGTCGTGTAAGCAAATGAGAAAACTTCATAAAACTCAATTATTTTACACGTGAGTTTGTAATAAAATTATAACGCGGTTGGAGTCGCACAGTAAACAGTATTTAATTTCCGTAAGCTCCTCGGCGCCATTAGCCGAAAATAAATAAGCTTGAAGAGGAAGGGCGTGAATTGCCTCCCCGCGGCCGCACTCCCCGCGCGCGTCCATCGGCCGGATAAATTTGGAAAGTGGCAACAGAAGCGAGCAGATGGTGATTTATTATCGTGTTTTATAATAATTACGAGAGGCTACGGGGGAGCGGCATTGTGTTGCGTGGCCTGGCCCTCTAATGGCGCTCGGGACGTGTGCTCTCCTATTACATTGTCTGTTTTATTTTCAACTTAATGATGGACGACCTCATCTTCTGGATAAGCATTAAATTGATCCCCTATAACGATGTTCTAAAATTAATATCACGCTAAAATTAATCCAGCTATCATAAAATTCCCGCGATAACATTATTGGATTCTATTCGGTCCGAGTAATCGAATTGCTTTAACTTTGAATTGAATGTTGAACGTCTGAATCCCGAAAATAAAATAAGTAATAAATAAAGGTTCACAAGAATTGATTTCATCGCAAACATAATAATAATTTATGTAAATGAGATTACCGGCCATTTTGGTATTTATTTATTTGCCCTAAAGAGTTGCGGGACATTTTATTACCAGGCGAGCATAAAAGGTGTAAAGGTTCTCGTATTGGTTCAACAACGGGGTTATTAAATATATTCCGCGATGCTATCTCCGGCTAATAAGCGGCCAGTAATTATGTAGGGAGTCTCATTGACTCCACTGTTTTATGTGGCCATGAATATTTTAATATTAATAGCCAGTTCGGGATTGTAAGTTATAAATAAATTTAAACACTGAGAAAGGACGAGATGATTATAGCCGTCGTGAAATACGAATGACGAGCGACAAAAAACTGTAGACGTTCAAGACTTACGATTGGTAGGTAGTAGGTAATCATAATCGGCGAGCCAGGTGTCGTAAATAAATTAATATTGCTTCTGTAAGTGGACTTCTTAATTATATGCTTTATGGGGCCTTTTATTATTTCTATATTGACGTTAATGACGTTCTTTTATTAGGAGGCTCTAATCGAGGTTTCGTTTTAATAGATAGTGTTTCTTTTACATGCAATATTTTGATGTTGAAAGTATTACCACAACCTACAGATTCTATCTTTCTACAATAAGTGTCTATCACTCACATCACATCTCATGTAGGGTTATAATATATGAATATCGATTTTTATAAATATTTGAAACTATGTCCATAAACATTTATTGCCGACCTAAAATATCCGGCGTTATTTACTGCCGAACCCTATTTCTTCGAATTCATTATGGCCTCCCAACCCATGTTTGAAATTTCGTCATCCATTGCTCTGTTCACGGAAGAGGACTTAAGAACGCAAACTAATGCACTTCGAACATGTACCTAGTAAAAAATATTTGTTTTTTATTATTAACCGTTTAATTATACAAAGGACGAATTAAGGTCAGATATAAGAAAGTTTATTGTAATAATGTTAAGAGGCGTTCGGATCGTTTATTCAGTGTTATGCCAATATTGAACGAAACTTTTATCAGCAAACAATTTGCATCAATTATTATATTCAGCGCTGTATTAATTAGTGACTACGTACGTACATCATTATTGTTATTATTTTCATTATCTTGTGGTTAATTTGAACCCTAACGTATTTTAATTGATGTATGCAGCATGATTATGGAATTAATGATTGCGAAGCTTGTACGAATAAGTACCAGGCGTGCATAAGCGTGCAGAGTGTACGGGATGAGCGCGTTACGGTGCATTGCGTTCGTGCGCTAGTAACAACTCACCACCTTCCGTCTCATGCCACACGATGCCCTCCAGCGTGACCGAGGTACCAGGCTCGCAGGGGCCCAGGCAGTCTGGCTCCGTGATGGTGCCAACAGATGTCCCCACGCATACTTCTGCAGTTTCCTGTGAACAAACATTATATTATTATTTATATATTTATTTATTTATATATATATTAAACATTTTTATGTTGGTTTTCAATGATATTAAAATCAATAAATTATTAAAGTAAAAGTTAGCGCAACTTTCAACAGCTATATCGGTTAGTGAAGTCTTGCATTGTACGAAAGTACCGTTACTTATACACTTGATAAAATATTTGTTATTTGCATATTACTCGTTACATTTATAATAATACATATTTCCAAAACAAACTCTGAAAACGCTGAACATAAAACATAACGATTAAACGTTAATTATGAATATAAACGTATGTACCACTCGAAATAATAAATAATAATGCAACCGCAAACATGTTAAAAACAGTAATTTATTGGCGCTCCGCACACTTTATGCTGCTGTTAAAATATAACGAAATAGAGTTTAAAATAAATATCCAATTGTTGGCTGACCGCATTTAATTAAACAGGATTTATTAAGAGAAATTGAATGCCTTCGGTAATTTTGCGGTGGGTTGTATTATTTTTATGTTCAATAAATGATTTATTTGAAAGTTTCGTCGTGAAAGGAGGGTTTATGAATTTGGTAAACATAAAATGGCTGACGTGCCACTGTAATATCACGCCACATAAATGCCAAGTCAATTAATAAAACTATATAATACGCATTGATTTTGAATGAGGTGCTACTTCTACGTAGATACTAACTCGTTTAAAAATATTTTTGTCAAAAAAATGGAACGCTAATATTGTGTGTGACCATGTTTAATACTGTTCAAATTGCGTACTTTTACAAATCTATCACAAATCGTTGTGAAATATGAATGGCGATGGCAGTTATTTTCTTGGAACCTTTTGCTGGAAATTTTTGTAAAACAATTTTAGGTACTTATTTACCTACTCCTTTTTGATATTAGAGATAAATTAAACAAAAATTCGTGTGACCAGTTTTTAAACGTCGAACACTAGAAAACTCACAAACTTAAACATTAGATTTTTTATTTTTCCTCTTTACTGATTTAGTCTTTTTAATTATTAACTATTTATAAGAACATAAATAAAAAATATACCTACTCAGCATTTCGATTAAAATTCTTTTGTAACGACCGAGATTAGTAATTTGTCACATTTTAAAAACGAATATCCAGTACATGTACCTACTATTTTGTATCTGTGTGTTTTAACATTTTAAAACATGTTCCTAGTAAAACTGTTTGTTCGTTCCTAAGCTTTCCCGATATGTCGATGAATGTAGAGTGAATGGTGAATGGTAATTGAGCAAGTGAACGTATCTGTAACAACTAGCTATTACTTCTATGTTCAGTTATTCCATTATATGCTAACAATACATTTCGTATTTCCACTTTTAATCATAATTGGGGTTTAATTTGCTTTGGTAAACTTAACGGTGAAAGGAAACATCGGGAGAAAACCTAGACTTATAATTTCTAACTATAAGACTGTAATCGCCAATCCACCTGAGCAAGCGTGGTGATTAATGCTCAAACCTTCTCCGTGTGAGGAGAGGCTTTTGCTCAGCAGTGGCACTTATAGGCTGATGATGATGATGTTAAAGTTAGACCAGTATTTCTAGACACATTAAACAGTAATTGTTCAACGAATGATAAAGTAACTTATAAAATAATAATAGGTACATATATTTACAACAATAAAATAAAAGCTACGACCTTTTTGGTTGACATATATATTTATTATTCTTTAAGACTTGGAGATAAATAATTTTATTATCGTGTAAAGTTTTAAACTTAAAACATATGATTAAATATAGCGTAGGTAAACAAGTTTGGACTTTGTTCAACTAATCTTGACCTACCGCATTATTCATAAAACATTTTTGTTAGTTTTTAAGTAGACATGGGATTATATATTTTCGAAATAATGTCAAGTTTTCGAATTGTACATGCGGTAATCACATGTTGACTACGTCGATGTCTGCGTAGGTATGATTAATTAATCAATTTGATATCGAATAGTACCGCTCCAAGCCGGCACACCGCACACCCAAGTGTTATTAATTAAAACTTATTGTTCCCGTTATATTAATTTGATACTGTTCGCACGAATTATGTTGAAATTACTTTACAAATGTTACTATTGAGGTAAATACATGTGTAATTAAAATGTTAATGGCTTGTTTGCCCCCGATAATGGGATGTATATGAACAAATTAATAATGTATATGTGTAGCTTCAGTTGAAATGGCATTTTATCTATGATTGAGAATTCGGTTTCCTAAAAATATTACAATCTTTACACGAATTACTAAAATACGCTTACATATCTGATATAGGATTCTGCGGAATGTATTCCTAAAGAAGTTATCTCCTTTTCTCGCAAACAATATTGTAAATGGCTACGATAAGCCAAATGAAAAAAACAAAAGATCGAAGTGGGACTCTCTTGAATATTATATTTTTCATAGCGATCTCCCCGGAAAATCGTAACGTTTGTTGAGTCGACCGCGGTACCAAGTTGCCAGGATTGCATAAATTCAAAGAGCGTTTACGGCGTAGAACATAATCAAATGAAGCCATTTACATTCAGCGCCCGATATGAGAACGGTGCGACACCATCGCCCGTCTCGCTCACGCACACGGTTAATGGCATCACAAATTGCGAACTAAAGCACTCCGGCGTTGAATCCGAGAGATGTCGTTTCGACGAGTACTTTAGGAAAAATAACAAAATTTTATGTGAATCGACAGATATTATAGTCAAGCAATAATCTTTTCACGTTTCAGTTTATAACAATGACGAAGTGGATTGAATATGCGCTGCAATTACAATGCTACTGAGGACTGCTTTATCAAAAACAATCAGATAAAACAGTTTCTGCTCAAGTCTTGGGGGGGGAGGAACAGTTTGCCGGCTGCAGTCTTTCCGTCCAAATATAATTTAGGTGTCTTCAAGGCTAGAGTGAATAGGCTCTTAATAAACTAGTGTGCCTTACCATCAACGATTGCATCACTGCTTACCATCAGGTAGGATCGCAGTTAAGCACTAGTTTATAGCAAGTAAAAAAGAAAAAAAAGTCTGAAGTTAAAGTTTTGAATTAAGAAGTCCCTACTTTTGAAGTACTTAGTTAGCATTAACTATGTAATTGACGCTAATATAATCCGATCTTCTACGATGAAGTCATACCAGCTGAATATCTCAACTGCGATAACAGCAAATAATCGATTAAATCATGCCCACGCGACGCCTATAAATAAAATTAAACGCTTTATTGTTAGTCGAATGACAAATGTGCGATAGTCTTACGCCCACCGACAGCGGCACTCGAGTTCACTCGACCGCTACTCTAGCGCGGCGACAATACTATACTCGGAATTTTAATTCCATTCCAGATTTGACAATTTCAGTGTTGCAACGTTATGACACGTAATAAATAGTGACGTTGCGTTATTATTCGATATGGAAATCGAATATTTCTGAATCGATTCCTCTCGTTTATAAATTTACTCTCGTAAACTAAGTTTATCAGGAAATAAAAATTTTCTGAACCGATAATTTAGTTTTGACAATTATTTAACGATCTGAGACTTTTCTTTTGTAATTGTGTGTGAAATTAATAAAAAATGTGATCATGAAGGAACGTGACAAATAAAACAGACATTTTATAGATTGTCGCCGTCATCGCTATCGCTATCGCCGTTACTCTATGTAACATTTATTATGAATTGTGTCTTTGATATTTATTGTCAATTAACATATCTAGCTTACTCATTTTTTCCTCTTCTTTGAAAACATGGGATACACATTTAGACCATTCGGTAGTCGTAATTTTTTGAATGCCTTCCTAAAACTTATTCACTGATTGTTTATCGATTTTTGTGTTCATCACTACACTGTTATATGTGGTATCATTATTTCAGAAAATGACAGTGGTCAATGTCAAATCAGGAATCGAATTAAAAGTCCGACTATAGTTTGGAACGATAATGCCACAAACATATTAATATTTCGACACAACGTATCGCTTAAATCCTTTATGTCGGACGATGGCGTGAACGTTACAAGTTGAAGCAGTCGAGGGGGAGGTATTGTGTGCGACGCGGAGGGGACGCTCGGCCGAAGTTATGAGCGCTGGCTCAATGCTCTCCCGCTAGTTGACTGCAAACAAGAGGGGTCGGGCCGAGCAGCTGCCGTATTATCTTGACAAACGAACTTGCTCGACGCGCACAATTTTAGAAAAAACTTTATTACCAGGACTTGGGAATTTACATTTCAATAAAAAGTGCACGCTATCAGGCACATCGAGTGCATGCAAGAGTCGGAGGTGTAGCAGGAGTGCAGCATTGTAGGTGCCGCCGCAACACACAATAGCGAGTAAATCAATTCACAACCAACATGAACAAAAGAGCGTGCCGAGCGTAGTGTAATGAGCGCTCCGGCATGCCCCGGTACGAATAAGATACTTACGACCTATATACAGGTTTAACAATTGGGTGTACAACGAATTCATCATTCCTACTAATGAAATCGACTTGAAAATAAAATCGTGAAAAAGAAGCGTGAACGTGAAGATCTTTACCAGTGCTCAATGAGTTGAACAATATCCTATCTTGTTCTCTATCCGCACACGGACTCAAGCGTATCGTTTCCAAAACTTGTAACAATTTAGTTTCCGCGCGGTCGGCCATGACAAATCACGGTTGAATCTCACAAACTGGTGAATATTTGGCAACGGATACGTCCACTGGAGCACGGGAAGCGATTCCCAACAGTGTAACCGAATTACAATCCACTAAACCGAGGGAACATACGTCATTAAAATAATTTAGGGAAATGGCACGTTTTAGTGCTCGCGTTTATGGCAGCTCGGTGGATGGGCCGCTCGCGGCGTGCCAGAAGCAATAAATACCGGGGCGGAGCCACCCACCATCTTGTTTATACACCACCTACCCGAGACGGAACATTAATTTTCTGCTATGCGGAATAAGTGGCGACAAAGAGTGTTCGTGTCAGCTAATGGGCTAGAACACATCACTGGTACGGCTTATAAGAACTTTGCCAAGAAAAGAAGTTAAAGAAATTACGGAAAGGCTAATTGTACTGAGAACTGCGAGGAAATCTGCAGCGCCTTAACCCTCTTAGTAGAGGAAATTATCATTTAAATGAACTTTCAAAGGTAAAGAAAGCGGGCCGTGAGCACTGGAAATAATTATCAGATCGTTTTTATCATGTTTACCTTCGAAGCCTCGTGTTTCCAATAAGTTATGCAAATTGAAACAGTCAGACTAAATCAAAGTATTGAAATAAGACAACATTTGAAAATTTTACACACACATTTTTAACTAACAACGTTTATTTTTTCCTTTTCGTGTGGTAATGTGGTATAAAATGGTGTGCATACTTCCAGTAGCGTAACAGAGGAGGTAACGAGTTATAAATAATAATTAAGGAATACAATCAGGCGCGGCACCGGACGGACTGTCCGCTCATAGCGAGGGTCGTGGGTACCCTACTCAGGGCTGACACTGCGTAATTAACTTTGTACAATTCGATTTGATGCGCAACTGTTTCAATATTCGTTCGCACAACCCTCGGCGTTGTGCGAACTTTTTTAATTTATTCATTATTTTGAAACTGTCAAAGTGCACGTCAACTTGGCATAAGTATATTATTCTCTTTTAAAAAAAAACAACATCTGTAAATAAAATATGGCGTAGAATTTACTTTGAGAATGAATAATGCGAAACAGCAAAACTAATTTGGAGAATCGCTGAAAGGGTTTTAAAAATAAATTCATTTTATAGAGCCAGAGGTTTTCACAAAGAAAATACCTTAGTATTATGTTGTGTAAGTAAATTATTTTGCTAGTGGAACAAAGGATAGTTACGTTGCAAAGATAGAACAACAGAAAAAACAAATGCAAATAACTGTGTTCTAGTAACAACAAATTTATGTATAGTGACTTATTTTAGAATTAAAGTAGCTTAAAACAAAAATATGGCCGCACATTAGTCAAATCTTTATTTGCCGCAGACAATATAATTATAAAGTACTTATATTAATCTTTAGTAATTAGTTCTAAGCTGCGGCTCACGAAAACACATATGTTCGTGTTATACATATGAGTATATTATATTATTCATTGCTAGATTCGAACATTTGAGACCCGACTCGTAAAAAAGTATTCACAACCTCTATGGAATTTAGAAAAGAGGTATTTATTAGAGAAGCTTTGTCTCTGACTAAAAAGGTTTTATATCTAATAATGTTGTCATTGCTTTTATACAAGAAGTATAAATAAAAATAACAATAAAAAATAAATAAACTTCACGCATGGTATCCCTGAGGTATCAGATAACAATAATAACACAATCTAGATGCTATCTCCTAGTTAATAGCGTTGTCTGGCAACTAAATTTCATGTGAGGATGAAAAAATCTCATTAAAAATTACTGTTGGCTACGTACATTTGCATTAGTTTTTTAGATCTACAAGTGTATGTTGTAAATCCCGTTTTCAAATAAAATTAAAATAGTTTCATGGTAAAACAAAATGATAGCTGAACAATAAAAACAATATTCGTAACAAAAACTTGTAAAAACAAGATGACATAAAAGCTAGTCCGTATTTATTTTTAATGTTTTGTATTTTTGAAAAACACGTTACAATAAACACACTGGCTGGATACAGAAAAAAATAAACAACCAAAAGCTGTTTCATACAGACGCTCTCACTCGGAAATCCGAACGAGATTAATTAAAAATAAAATCTCGCGTCAACCCCCGACACTGTAATTAAAAGAGGAATAAATGAAAACGAAATTCAAGCTTCAATTACAATTAACGTTGAAATATGGGTTTAATGTGCTTAAATCTTCGTATTTTAGTTTTTACAACTTGTTTAGCGGCTACAGGCCTGCTCCCCTTATTGAGCGGCGCTGTAATTAGCTGTAGCATTCGGTACAAAGGCCGGCTAATAACTCACTTAATAAATAATTTATATGACGCTCCGAGCTCAGTTCCTGGGTCGGACAAAGTAGGTAATACATTTAGGAATTCGTGTATACTGTATGTATACCGTTTCCCCTTTGTGTGTTGTATCTTTCCGACATTTAACATTTTCTAATAAATCTTATAGAGAATCGGAATAGTCCACAAATTCGCATTATACAACGGGGGGCTGTTCCAGTTAACGGTATCGTGTTTTGTTTCAACTTATCAATCATTGGCTGACCTGCTGATCTATTGACCTTGCGTTTAACCGCGATTATCTTAAAGACAGTGTTTATTCATCACACAGGTCACGATATAATTACGATAACATTTCAAAGAAAGACAAACAACAGTTGTTAAAAGCATCTCATTCCTCCACGTTAATAAAATGGCCCTTGAAAATGAAAAATTACAGAACAAAAGCGCACGTAAATAAATAAAGTTTGAGCAAAGAAAATGCAAGGAAAATATTTTTTAATATACCGGGCGGCGCTTTGTACCGCTCTCTTTATTCAAGGGGGAAACTTCCTACCTAAATAGGAGCATAAAAGGAGCCATAGATTTTATGAAATAGGAAGGCAACCGCCCCGACAGTAAATACAGCATTTACAGAACCGGTCCGCTACCCCACTCCGCGTACACTGACACCCGTATATAAATAACATCTACGTGTTCGTAGCAACCCTATAACGGTTGACTATGAGATCATTCCAAATCAACAACACTATCATTATCTCGTGACGACTGACACTACGAAAATAAATATGCTAAATTGACTACCATTGAGACAGAAAGATTAGCATAAATTCACTTTTATGAGATAAATTTAAGTGCAATGAAAATGAAATGCTAATCGAGGCAAGCGCGCTTCTCTCAAAACAAAGAGTTTATTCATTACAAAAGACCCAGTAAAAACCTAAGTAGGGTTGCGCAGCGATTCTTGTCGAGAACTGCCACGAGTAAAAGAATGCAACTTTGTTCAAAGGCGGCCTTTGTAAATGAGAAGCGAAACGCGTAAAGCCCAGCCTCGCCTTGGCTGGCGGAAGCGCGCGATGTGACACGGAACACCGACACTGACACACGGCGAAATTGCATTGAATCTGGAACGCCTTTATCGTCGCCAAAGGGACTTTTATATTTTCAACCTCCGAGCATGCATGGATCCCTGGTACGTCTACGAATGAGATTCACTCATCTGTTGATACACGATGATAGCGAGGAAACTAAAAAAGATTTATAAACCAAAATGGTTATCGTTTACAAATCCGTGAACAAATAACTTAAGTTTTTGAATAAAACATTTTGTTGAAAATAAATACATATGTTGAATATTTAACATGTAACGGAAGCGACTAATGAGTTCATAAAACACTAATGTCAATATGTTATTGCTCCAAAGTATAATCATTTAACACGATAGGAATTAACATTTAAACATAGACATACATCAAATGTTTAATTCAATATTAAATCAACGTTCGGTGAATAACGTAACCGGTTCTCAAAAAGCAATCAAATAAAATATCACGAGAAATAAAGCAATAAAAAAGAAGGGATCGTGATTTGGTCGCCGTTTGTATTTGGAGGTTAATGGTTTACGAAATATAAATGCGAGTGACTGGCTTTTTTGTTTATTAAACTAATTGTAGGAATCCAATTATACGTGTTGACTTGAAGAGCTCTATAGAATACAAATAGGTTATCGAATTGATCATCGAATATTATCATAGCGTAGGCCGCGTCGGTCGTCTCTCGCCGCTGCGCACTCGTGTACAACAGGTTTATTTCTATGACCGTCTCGAAAATAAGAAGACGATAAAGCAAGAATTGATGGTTAACATTATGTTTACACAATTTGAATTTTATTATTTGTAGGTCGCAATCGAGCAAAACACTCCAACTATATTGTTATTGAAAGAGATATGCATTGTAGATTTTATGTACAATTTTATTTATATCTGCATGCATATTATTATAATGGATAATAATTGAATTATTCGGTAACATGAAACAGTACGGAATGTTTGACAATATGTCAGTAATTAAATATGTAGTGGTACGGTTGTCTACACGTCTATCCAATAACACAAGCTGACATTTTGTGACGTGTTTGCACAAAAATTAGTCACACACGCCACATGTACGATGGAGTACATTTTATTTTTTTATTCAAAAGCTATATCTCGCGAATTTCCACAAACGAATGAGCAACAAAATAAAAGCGTTTGGAAAACATCGTAATTTTTGTTCAAAGCCATTTAATTTAAGCACAGTGGGCTGCGAGAGAATAATCTGATTTATATCTCTAGGCCGTATTTCTTCTTTATTCGCTCTTTCACACTAGCCGACGTAATTTGTTGAAAAACACGCAAATTCAGTTAAGTGCTTCTTTCTATTTACGATTGATGCTTTATCGTTGTTCTGTAACTCGATGGCGGGCGTACGTTTATTTATTATTTACGTTACTGTTCTTCGCCAAATTATCTGCTGCTGCTGATTCTAGGTACGTATAGGTACGTTTGGGTACGCCATACATATTTTACAATTTAAATAAATGAAAAACAGAAATGGATTAAATTATACATGTGACTATTTCGGATTGACTTTTTTAACATTAAAAGCTTTATTAGTTTCAGTGTGATTACTATAGTGTTAATATTGAAACGTTATTCAGTTGTTTACTGACACTATCTGGTTGAATGTTTCGAGTATAATTGCACAAAGTACAATACACACACAGTGTAGAGGTAGTTTTGTAGTTTGTACAATGTCCGGGTGGGACGCAAATGTTTGTGTTTCACCCTCCCCATCCCTCGGGAGATGTAGTGAGCTCCGGGCGATATAGATGACAACTTGGGAAACTGATGTCCCTGTTATTATTCTGTTTAAATTAAAAATCCGTATCCATTTTTATCCCTCTAGGTCTATTAAAAGACAT